GCTCGCACATTTCTGAGTTGACCGTTGAATTTATATAGCTACGAAATAGGCAGTCGAGAGCTTGGGCCCGCATTCATATGGGATTTCCGAAGCTTTGCAACCCTGTGTTTGTTTGCTATCTGACAGGCAATTGTAATTACATTATGGGTTTCCGGTGAAGGCCAAGATCTGTCTTCCAGTATCAATGGACGCAAAGGACCTTGCAGAAACACAAAAAAAAGTCTCTGTCAAGATCATTTGGTCTCCGTCCAGTTGAGCCAAGTTCCGCCCAATTGACCATACTGAGCTAAGAAGAAAAGGGCTGAGTTGGAATTTCCAGCATGTAGACAAATAGAAGCAAACATCTGAGACTACATGTAGATGTAGATTTGGATTAGACTATGTATAGTATAGATGGATACAGCGGTTCCACATGTGTGCACGTGTATAAGTATAATTATATATAGTAGGTAATATATATATATATATATGTGTGTGTTTATCTATTTATTAATGTCTGTGTGGATGTGTGTATACGTGTATCCTTATATTGTACGTGCAATACACGTATAATCACCCAAGGATGCGTTCGATTTCCACCTCGAAGCTGGTGATCTTGGCCACGGTATCTTCGCCAAAATCTTCCTGAGATCTTTGGGTTTGCCAAGGGGATAGAGATAGGCCCCAAATTGGGCTGTTTCTAAATGTTTTTAGTGGGCAACGGCATATTGACGATGTTTGATGATTAACCATGGGATCCATGGGAAGATGGGGTACAGTACATCAGTGCCCTATGTTTGAACGCACCGATTTTTGGCGAGATCAATGAGAGATCAATGACCTAACTTGTGGAACCCTAAAAAGGAAACCTCATGGAGTCTGGCCTGGCTGCCAAAACGCATTGGTGCGATCCTGAAGGCACCCCAATATCCAAAACTAGGTTTCATCTTGGGCTGCATTGGAAAAATTGGTTCTGAGCATTCTCATGACGATGATCGTAATGATGAGAAGCAGGAGTATCAGGATATATCAAGATTTATGTGCCATTATTGACTATTGGGTATTGTTAGCCGTCTTAGCCATTTGCTGTCTTGCTTCTGCCTCAGCCTTCATTGCTTTTGCGAATGCATCATCCTGCATGGCCACTGCCGCTGTCACAGAGGCACGGTACAAAGACCTCCGCGCATCGCAGATTCAAAGCTACCAGTGAGACCAGTGGCCCCGCGAAGTAAACAGCGCAGCGCACCAGAAAAATAACCACCTTAAAGCATCTTACATCATCGAAGGCCCCATCAACACTGGATCCGTTCAGCTTCAACACTCAACCAGTTGCAGCACCACCAGCGTGAACCTCACCTCATCCGAGTGGAAGAATTGATGATGGACCTCAGCTCGCTTTTGGCTGCGGCTCTCGAAACATTTTTTTTGCACGGTCTGTTTGTCTGCAATGGATCTTGAATCGAACCATTCATTCTATTGTATATACTGCATATATACATGCATGGATATTCAAACATCATCAAGCATCCACAATTTTCTGCTTGAATTGTTGTTTGCATCAATATATAATATCATGATATGCTGTTTCATTACCATTATCATTATCAGCATGAATATCATATCTGTACATATGTATATATATATATTATGGATATATATCCCTCTCTATCGCCTTCAAACAAGGTCTGCCTGAGGCCTGCGATGATATATATATATATATGTGTGTGTGTGCTATATCCACCACTATTGTTCATTGTAAGGTATTTCTGATTATAGGGTCTACCGCCCCATTCAACAATCCTAATAAGGGAAATGATGATAAACCTGTGGTTTTATCTCGTTTTTCCTATTTCTTTCCCCCATTTTTTCAGACATCCCTGGATCTCTGTGGATTTCTCCTCGGCCACACCAGATCCATTTCATCCCAGCCACGCCCGCGTCCTCCGTGGCACCGGCGCTGCCGGCTCCACTTCAAAGCTCGTGGCGGTGTCAGCGTTGCTCGCCATGGCGAGGGAGGCGAGGGCGTGGCACCGCTGAGGATCAGGATCAAAGGGCTGCAAATGGCTGCAAAACGTGCAAAGCGTGTGGGATAGTGGGATAGTGGGTGTGTGTGCGTGTGTGTTTGTGGTATATTCTATGCTTTTCTATGGCGGATATACATATATCGTATACATATATATATATATTCAGCACGTAAGCTGAAGTAAAGTAATAGCATTTAAGGTAAGGCAAGGCAACGGAAAAGAATGACAAGGAGTGGAATGGGATGTGCAATGATGATCAATGATGTACATTCGCAGATTGTCGTTTACACTGCATGCAGGTCTTCAAGATAAGGGCACTCACTCCGACCCCTAAATTGGATGGCCTACTATTTGATATAAACATGTTTTGCTTAAACTAAACATGAAGATTTAAGAGAACATACGCGACACACAACAAATTGTGGGAATGCTGTCTTGCCCACTGCAATACATACACTAATATGCAGCATCTTCCGTCAGCCTTTTCCATTTCCATATATTTTCCATATTCTAAGTGTTCGAACTCTTAGTTGAGTATCTTTTGAAATGTGTTCATTCATATCCCACTAGACTTGGAAAGGATCCTGTTCCAAGGCGTTATCTTCACTGGCCGTTCTCATAGGAGTCCTCGATGCTCTCGACTCGAATGGCACCTCTGAAGCCTGCCACTTTGGTGATGAGCAAATATGTATTTTTGTATACATGTGAATATCTGTGTATAATATAATATAATATTATATAATTTTACTTAATCATAGGCTGGTCCCAAAATGCAGATACAAAGCCTGGGCTTCCTGTGTTTGGATTTGGCTCTCAGTCTGAGGGTATTGGAAGTGAAACGGCGTAGGGAAAACACTTTGGGACAAAGTGCGAAACCAACGGTGAACAACTGCCGTTCACCTGCCAGGAGTCTAGACCGCGACTACTGTAGTGGTTACTGCCTTCCAAAATGATCACTGCAATATTAATCGGTGCCCACTACGAATCATGTCAGAATGACCTGTTTTCATCAACGTTCATCCATGCTTTTACTAAGTTCAATGCCAGCGTTTGATTGTTCATCTGCAATAACCCCCAAAAATAAAGAAACACATTTCCACGATGAAATAAACAAAGTTTCCACCCAGATTTCCATGATTTTCCATATTTCCAACTTTCCTTTTCATATACATTTATAATTATATATAATATGTATATATGGGTTGCTGTATTGCTATGCCAAGCAACTTGCATTTGCGAACTTTTTCTGGAGCAGCCTCCAAGGACATCCGGGACCGGGACATGTCCCAATCTATGGCAATTTTCGTGGGAAACAGGATGATCAACTGATCAATCATTGGATTTGGGATGATTTGGGGTATACCCTATAATTATTTATCATTATTTATATGAATATGTTATATTCCAAATTATGGAATTATATCCCAAATATTATTATATACCCTATTATATCCCTATTATCATGATTTATCAATATATTCCATATTTATATGCTCCCTTGTCTATTCTCGTCTTATCGTTACCCAAAAACATCCAAAAACCCATTTCCGATGTTCACCTCAAGCCACCTGCAGCAGAGGCACATCAGCTTTCGCCCGTCGCGCCCGGCTATAGCCCAGGAGCGGGGTCTGTCCGCAGTCCATCTGGAGACCACCTGGGTGATGTCATCTGAAGCGTCTGAAGTGACTTACAACATCCATACATATATATATATATACTATATTATAACTATAAAAATATACAATAATATCTATATATCGCACCGTGTATACACATGAGTTACACAAACTGTAGAATAGTAATAAGAAATAGGAACAATAACAATCATATTAATAAATAGTCACAATAAGTGTTAAAGAATATACCAATATTATTCACTTACATACCACATGTGTACCTACCAGTACTGGGCCAAATGGGCAAGTTTCCACCAAAACCATCTTGAATGACGGCATATGGATCCAGGCAAGGCAACGTTCACTGGTATTGGTGACCATATCCCGAGTGCTGGTGCAGCCCAAAGTCCATGCAAGCCAACGTGCCAGTGATGCCTCCAGGGTTGCTATCTGCATCAATCCAAGCATGTTGCCAAGTAGGGACATGAGAAAAGTGATGAAAGCAAACTTCAAACTACTTTGAAACAAAAAAGTCAAACCTGTCTATTCGTACTATATACGAGTACATACATCAACATACAGCATACGTTTGCAGCTCTGCGTAGGTGCTGCAAAAGAACGTCCAGCTGACAAATCACAAGCCTTGGAGAACCAAAGGAGCTGGTCACTTCAACAATTCACAATGTATGACATCCATGACGAAGAACACATATGAAAGTGATACCACAATATACATCAATATACCACACACAGACACACACACACACATATATATATATATACATATTACTATAGATATATAGATATCGTAATGTATACATGTATATATATAATTAATGTATGATATTTGATTCTACTCTGCACTGGTGGTTTAAGCGCAAAAAAAAAGGGAAATGGCTGGGAAGTGCCACGTGCCATTCCAACCCGGCCTGTGGCCCCCATCAGCAGCAACTCCGCCCGTTGTCCCAGTGGTGGCGCATCGTCCACTGCGTCCACTGCGTCCACCTCGATCTCCGCGAAGATGTCATCCCAGTCCGACCTGGGAGACCCAATCCCGGAGATCTGAGGGTCAAGTCATCCAAAAAACCATCAAAACATATCCCCAATTCTACCAGCCATAGAAATGGGTGGTATAAAGTTGAACCATTCAAAAGTCTTGAGGTCTTTTTTCTGGGGAAACATGGGGAAACCCACGTCCGTAGTCTTGTTCCCGACAATCAAGGCTCAGTTGTGGTCAATATTAATGGGAGAATGGCTGATTGGGTACTGCTAGGGTATATTATGCAGTTCAATAGGCAAAACATCTACACATGGGCTGTCATGGGCTCCATTTTGCCTAAGATGAAATGATTGAATATTCTGCAAGAAGTCGACTTCCCTACCACCCAGTACCACCCAGCATCTAATATCAAAACACCATCCAACAAGTTTAGATTTAGAAATGCCGTGGGTGATCCGATTCTGTGATTACGGTGTTCGATCAAACACAATGCGTCAAATTGGCGAAGAACTCAAACGATTCACTGAGCATCGGACCACCAAGCCACATTCACGGTGGGCGTCAGGAAGCCGTGAACTTCATTGAAGGCCCGACGTTGATAGGGATCCAACAAGAAGTCCTGGTGGGACTGACTCCATCAAAGGCAGGAGGAACAGCCAGTTGTCCCTCGTTGAGTGCAGCACGCTGGGAGGTTTTGGTTGTTGGAACCACTCGGCCCAACCAGTCCCAAAAGTTTTAACATGTCCAACATTGCCGCATATCAAATTCAAGGACTAGATTCAACAATTAGTGCATGTTAGCGTGTTACTGAGGTTAGATTCAACCTTGGGCAAGCCAAACCCTATGCCAAATTGGCCAAGACCAAATGATCCTTGGCAGAAGTGAGCTGTCGAAATTTCGCCGCTGCTGCTGCATCTCCTCAATCAAGCCATGGTTGGAGAGCTGCTTCCGGCAGTTTCTTCCCGGGGGATGATTCAAAATCTTAACTTAGATTCAACGAAACTGAAAGTTCAAGGGACGTGGGCTTCAGGAAGACTTGAAGAATATGTAGTGCTTATGTGCTTATATATGCATTCATGCATATATAAATGTAGTCAATGCCCTTGGCAATTGCTCAATTCCAAAGCAGGCAAGCTGTTGCAACAAAGCCTGCACCTGACGACGGCATACATGGACCTGGCCCTGGCATTCTACAAGCGTCCTGGGCAACGATCTGGATGAAACTTCCTCTGGCGCTAGATTCTCCGAAGGAAAACCACATGGGTGGACCAACATGCATGGCACAGAAAATAACATGTTTTCTGATCACCCTTTACATCCCTTAATGTGGCCTGCATTTTCCGGATTGCTTTGCAAGTTTCAGCGCTATCCAATATGAGAAAAAAACACAAGCTGCAGCTGGGTAGCAACGAGAGTTTGCGATAGCTGGACTTGATCATGCCATCTGTGGCATCGTAGGGGATCCCAAAGAGGCGGTACCTGAGCTGGCATAAGGCATATAGAAATACCTACTGGTTAGGAAGCTGTATATTTCCAAGCAGTGCAAGCAAAACAAGTTGTTCCGAGGTGCGGATCGGTCACATAGGCATCAAATTCACCGGGCAAATCCATGATCCAGGCGGCCCTCTCCTGCTGATGGTTTTGAAACGTGCACTAAGAATGGTTCTTCTCAAGAAACCAGCTCAACACAAGCTCATTTGCACTGAATGAGACGATCAATTTACTGGAAACCACATGTTTTTCATTGTCTCTCCCAGTCAATTTAGAGATCAATTTAGAGGTTTCCTATGGTTTCCGGTAAGTTTTCCGGCCAAATCGGGGTGTTGTTGCCTCCTTCGCATCCGTGGCTGGCACCACTGCCCTCTGCACCGTAGCTGTCAGCTCGGCAAGCTCCACTGACGGGCAGGGCACCGCAATACCTGGGCGTCATGGCAAATGCCAGGGTGAGCTAATATATATATATATACTAATCATATGCGTATGTTTTAACCTTGATTTATACATGGCCTATATATATTATTATTTCTTTAGGTTTAAGAGATCAAACATGGTGCCGTAAAATATCTAGTGGGAATACTTAATATTATGCAATGGTTATGCCATGATATATGATCCATACACATGTGTGACAAGTTTATGTTCTACCCTGATACTGCAGTTTGCATGCTGGCAGTGTTTCAAACATCGTGGTTTCAACCGGACCTCGCAAAGGACAAAACTGAATCAGGCTCCAAAGGATTAACATGGATTAACCATAGTTATAACTATAGTTATAACCATATGTTAACCATATGTTAACCATATATTAACCATATGTTTAATCAGCCTGGTCTGTGGCTTCTTGTGTCTAAGTGACCCATGTCGTGCAGCATGCAGTACAGCTCCAGCTCAGTTGCGCTCAAGGCTTGAATCCCGTTCTCCTGTTCAAAGGTGGTGCACAACGATAAAACGTCAACCCCCAAGAAAAGCAGACAAAGTCGAATCCGATTACAGTAAACAATAATACTAGTGTTGATAATAATGGTATATAATGGTAGATTATAGTCAGTTATACTGAATACTTGTCAAGAGGTTTCCTATCTTTTTGCGGCTTGCTCATGATTAATGCAGGGAACATGTTCCAAACTGTTCACTTCTGGCCGCTTATGGCACTGTCATGGTACTAGATATCCCTGCATTGGCAACTGCCGAAAGATCCATGATTTCTTCAGCTTCAATTTGCAACTGGGCCCTGATTCATCCCCCAGCGCATGAAAAGCGCATCCTGATGATTCCAGCCTCACAACGATCTACCAAAATCCTCCGCGAGGGCAACTGCACCCGATGCAGCAATGCGCGGCCCTTCAAGCAAATTGTTACCTGCTGGATCCCGAGGTACAGCATGAAAATCACGTAACGAGGCTGGGGCTAAGAACAACTCTAAAGCACTGAAGTGTCAGGCCAACCGTTCTTTTTTTTGCCGGGGCATCTCAGAGGGCCCGCACGCGGGGGAACACAATCCCGCGGAAAATGCACACTGATTGCCCTAACCTAAGCCAAGGTCCCAACCGCTGAGTGGCCCCTGCCCGGCCAGCAAGTGGAATTTCAAGCGCTGGCCTCGCGCTGGAAATGTGTCAAGCTTGGCTGGCTGCCACATATCGAAAAGGTATTGTCGTATCCGTATTCAAAGCACTCATCTTCTTTGCTCCCTTGAACTAGGATTTGTTGGTTGCGAGTTGTGATTTGAAATTGGCTTCCACACATCCTCTCCGACTCTTGCCGAAGCACTCCAAAATGTGATTTTACAGTACTACTAGCAACTTCTGCCAAAAAGGCCTGAAGTTGTAAAGTTGTTAAGGCAAGCGCGCTTTTGGACATCTTGGACCATGTTCCACTGTTGGACACCTGCAAATTATCTGAATCACCGGCCGCCTTGGCATTCCACTTCTCTCAGTAAAGCGCCACACTGCAAACGCTGCACGTCCTCGTTTGTGGTGCTGCTGTCATCCAAAAGCATAATTCATGACAGATTGATATACAGTAGTTATTTGTGACTTCCAGATTCTTTGATGATCTGTTGATCATGAAAACTTGGCTCATCATGGCCCTCACACCTCCTGAGCATCAAGTTCAGGGCCATGGCGCACCAAGAGACCACGCTGTGTACCTGCGAGAACAGTAAAATTCGTTGATCACAACTGGAAGATTCATAATTTCCATGGAAAATCATGGAACATCATGGAAAAACATGGAGCCCAGAAGTGCCAAATATATCTAGATGTGGCCCAAGCATATCGATATTATCAAAACATCAAGTACAGTATCAAATATAATGAAATCCTCCAAAGTTTTGACAAGTCTGATTCCAACATGTCGGGTTTCACTTGATTCATCCTCTGAGGATGCCCTGCATATCCCTGCAGGCTACTTCCAACCACTTGCCACATTGAGATGTGCCGACGATGGGAAGCTCAAACGCACCATTGCGGCACCTCTGGCCCTAAGCATCCTAGTCCACTCGGAATAATCATTATAAATCAATAGAGTGCCAAACAACAAGGTCAACAAAGCAGAAAAAAGGCTATGAAATGATGTTATGGTGGTTTCTATTATTTACATAGCTGCTCAGCAAATGTGCTAGTGGTATGATAATACCAATATTTTCTTATACTTAATGGTTCTGCTGCGAGCGTCTTGAGGCGCGCTTTAACCAGCCAAACAGCTGACAATGTCGCGATTTCCAACAATCATATAGCACACATTCAGCAAGACCAACAACTAGAAGAATAAAGTCAACAGAATGTCAAGTCAATACACACAGTTGCACAAGTACCAAACCCATCACCCCTCGCAGTGCTGGGTCCCACACAAAATCATGGGCATCGAAGCAGGGAGGGAAGACTTCCAATCGAGGAGCCATCGAGGCTGGAGTGCCTCCAGCAGGTCTGAAAATAGGGTACCCATGGGTACCTAACATTTGAATGTTCATCAATTATGTTCGTCATTAAGATGACCATTGGGAGGTTTTTGTCAGACATACCGTGCCCCGCAAAATTGTCAGACACTCCCACATGGTGGTGACATGCAAGAGTAAGCTAGGAAGGCAATTGTGATTGCAACGTATTGCTATAGGCCAGTAAATCGCAAACAGATTGAAGGATCACCATGGAAAACCTGTTGCATCCTTTAGTTGGCAAGTTTAGATTCTAATCCTCAGCTCCTGTCAAACTCATCAAGCTTCCTGTGCTTGTTTGAATGGTGGCAGAAAGTACCTAATTCAGAAAAGTGTTGTTATAATGATCCTCGATTTGGTCACATCCCCGTTTTTTTGGCGTAAAGAAACACAGAAAGCAGCATCATTCCCCAATATACTGCTCAATCAAGATCGACATGCACCCAAGAAACTTGGACGAGACCAGGGTGAAGACATCGGCCGGCCATCAGCGGAAGTACCTGACAAAACGCTTCAAAGATTGGACATATAGTGGCACGTATCTGACGCATCTCACATAATTTCACCCTAATCATTGTGCTGCGGCGCTGTGACCGGTGCTGAAAGCAAGTCACATGTCAAGACTTAATTGACCTGGCTTGGATATCTATGGCCATCAAATGCATACAGCCTATGCAGTCTATGCAGGCTATGCTGACAGATTGATATTGTCTTATTATGTTTCTGCAAGCATCAGGGCACCATGGCATGAGTGCGCGGGTCGCATGGGTGGAGGCACGGCCTGCGAAGGGCAACTCGCAAACTTGGATCGCGGGACATGAGCCCCTCACAACTTCAGCTGGCCTGGTGCCTTCAATATCTTCAATCACAATCAAATCATCAAGAAATAGGCCAATATGGGCCAATGGGATTCCATTTCGAAACTCCTTCCGCACAGAAAAATTGTCACCATGCTGCGTGTTGATTGCGCCACTTTTCACCGCCCATGGCTTTCACCGACAGGACGGTGCAAGGTGCTTTGGTTGCTTTGGGTGCTTTGGGTGCTTTGGAACCCGCAGCATCCAGTCGCTGTCTTCAAGTGAAGGATGTGTACCAAACACGTATCATATGGCACATGATGGCATCTGCAACTCTGAGAACTCTGATTAAGATGGAATGGAACATGATGGAACATGTCAGGCAGTTGGAGAAGCATTGAAGCAGAGTTGAAGCATTTTGATAAATGCCGAGATCCTCCCAAAGTCTGACAGTGGGATTCAAAGTTTTCAAGCTCCGCATTGCAGAACTTCTCAAGAGGGAGAGTTTCACGCAGAAACTCTTCCAGCAACTTTGGATGCTCTGCACCTTTGACTCTTGCCCGCAACAGCTGCGACAGCTCAAGATGCTGAGGGTTTTGCTGCGTCTGTCGTTTTCTTCCAATTCCTGCGGCAATGGAAATCTCAGGCTCGCAGACCTTTGGAACTCCACATTCTAAGCGAAGTTTGAAAGCAAATGTTGAGCCCCGAACTCTTGAACAAGGTACTGACAGTGATACCCTGGAGCTGCCTACCACCATTCAGCTACCAGTGCCCAACACCTCGCCTGTACATCATGAAGGCGCCTCCCCACAGCAATGGATTGCCTGAGACCTCACCAAGGGCAACATAATTAATCACCAACATCTAGGCATGCTCCTGATCAATCGAAAAAACAAAGGACCAGAATCTCCAAAAGTCTGTTCCTTATGTTTTTCCTAATGCGGTCTGCACCGGTGTCTTGCTCACCGTGCCCGAAGGAATTGGCTGACACATCCCTGGCACAGTGCCGAGTCGCGAAAAGAAGTCCACCACCGAGGATCATCCCAGCCTTGGACTCTACCCTGGTAATTCATGGGCACCAGTGGGCCACTGGGGCATGTCAACAAACGGAATGTCTGTATCATGTCAGGTGTAAAACGGATTCTGCATGGGTGTAGCATGTGAGTCTTGTATTCTGCATCACTGTGTGTTGTATACATGCAATATACAGTACTTATCAGTACATGTATTCACTGTTGCAGCATTAGTGCCCACACAACAACTACAATCCTGACTCATGAGCTTCACAAACTGCCATCTGCAATGTTGATATACCGTGTGTCCGCTATGTTCTGCTGTTGAAACTCAAATAGCAAAGAACTAATGCCTTGAGAAGAAAATAAAGTCTCAAATTGCATACCCAGGACTAGAATGCCATTGCTCTAAGGGAAGGTGAATATGTAGGATGGCTCAGGCAGCTAGATTCTCAAATGATTTGATGATTTGACGATGTTTGGTTCCCTCTGCACATGAGAATTGGTGTCAAGGTTCGGTCTGCAGCAAGGGAAGGAAATCTTTCCATGTGGTCGCCTGGTGCGGAGATGCTGAGATAAGATAGAAGTGCAGGTAATGAAAGGTGCTGTGATGCAGAGTGGTAAAGCCCAATTGAAGTGAATGCTGATTTGCATTTCTCTACTGCCGAGGCTTGGGGCTCAAAATATAATAAGGGAAAACATGACACCATGAATGAAAAACACTAAAAGTTTCGGCAGTGATCTAGCAATTGTTTTTTTTGGGGGGGATATGCGAGGTTATACAAGTACCCAGGCTCTCCCTCTATTATAAGATTTCTTTAGTTGGAGAACATCGCCAAACTTGCAAGTAGCCACTTTAAATTGATGATCATCTGCAGTTCAAGATTCAAAAGGTCTCAGAAAACCATTGACTTTAACATTGCCACAACCGATCAAGTTCCCGGATGGCGGATGCCAAGGCCCCACCTTCGCCTCCTCAAGCTGTGCGGCCATGATGTGTGGAGCACAAAGAGCGACCTAACGGCGACTCGACAGGGTGCCACGGAAAGTGGTGGCATTGATGGAGGTGGCATGGTCCAGGAATGTCCAGGGTATGTGCAATATGCATCAATATGCAAATCTCTCTCCATGGCCGCCTATTGATGCTAATGCTAAATAATAGTAATGAAAGTCTATACATGTCTATTTACATGTTCTAGCAAATGTATGTACGGGTGTTTCTCAGATCTCTGTCTATGTGGGTACCATCATGAATAAATGCTTGGTGGCAATGAGACAAACAACCAAACAGTAACAGCCATACAGCCGCAGCCACGCAGGTATATATGATATACATGTAGTAGCACGTAAATTTGTTTTGGTTTTCCAACGGTTTGAGGACAGCTGATAATCACTGACTGTGTTGAATGAATTGGGGTCAACATATCCAACTTGTACCGCAGATTGATAGATAAGGGATGATAAAAAAATTGAAATATGTTCACTATCCATCAACAGATTATATGTAATATTGTGTTAGAACCAATGCTTGAGGGCTGTTCATTGCTATCTGTTCGAATCTGTATAAATACGGATATCGCCGATCATTAATTATAAGGATGGATAATGATGGATAGAATACATCCAGTGTTCAACAACACCTCTGGCCGTGTGTGGCGACTGAGGTCAGTGCCATCAAGCGATCCCAGATGAAGGTGCCAACCAAGGAGGCGAGCAAAGTCCAAATCACCTCGAGGCGACATCCAATTGCTGAAAAGTTCAGGAACTGAGAGATACATATACAGGCAGTATAATCAATATACTCCTTATATATATATATACACAGGGTTTAACTTTTTGGTGCTGTCATAGTTGGCTTGAACCCATGTATCTATGCATGCTGTCTAAAGACCAAAGAAATACACAATGCAGAATAACCACATCAAACTTAATCCGTTGCTGATGAGTCGCAGCCGTATCTCATGCTTGTTTTTTTTTCTTATTGTGTTGGTGACCGATCTTTCTTTCATGATGAATGAAAATGTTCATATTTACCTTCACCTATATCTCAATCGTGTCATTTTCTCAAGCCGAAATTCTGTGAACATCATGCTAATTAGCATTGCTGTGTCCCGCTACTCGCTTCATTGCCAGTGAAAGCAAATCCTAATTCTCTGCGCGGCAACAGCCGGCAAATTTGTGGGCCTCTCCGACTCTCCGACGTTCCAGTTCCTCCGGAACCTTTTAGCAATTGCTCAAACCACAGCGTGGAAAATCATCTCTTAGGACCTTAAGAGTCTACACAATGGTTGAGAGCATAAGCACTCCTGAAAAATACTTTGGCTCCCGCAATCTCTGCGGTGACATTGAAATCACACATTATATTTTGAGTGGCATTCTGACATATAGTTTGTCATTTTTTCTGACGCCTATTCTGACTTGGGTACCTGCGTTCGATTCACTAATAATGCATTGGCGTTTTCATTCATATGAATTCAAGCATGCGGTCTTAAGTAGATTCAAACACTCAATCCAACATTCTGATTGACACGAATTGTTCAGATCCTATGTGACGTAAATCCTGGCATTCTATTATAGCCACTTTTTGTGAATGTTGTTTGGCATTTCATCCGACCGTTCATCTGGCATATATTTTGTAAATCTGGGCTTCGCTGCTTGGCATTGTCTGGTGCATGCTGGCCTGGACAGCCGCAAAACCTGCCTTACTCGCGCAAATATTAGAGACCTGGCAAGCCTGCTATATAATACCAGCTGCTGCTGCTGTTCGACTATGGCAAGGCAAGAATGACAAGGCATCGAAGGTGGAGGATTAGGATGTAGAGGAAAAGCAAGGCGACATGAAATAAGGTCAAGAGACCGCGGCCTTTCAGACAACCTCTGGTTTCGCGCGGCACCTTTCTTTTTTTCGAGACATGCCTCGGACAGCTCCTTGGACACGTTTCTAATGGCCTTGTCCAAATAAGTTGTGGGACTTTCGTGAAGACCTTCGTTTCTTTTCAAGGCATTGGTGTAGAATCAAGACATTTTTCAGACACTAACTGCTCTTCTGCTATGGCCTTCGCTTTGCCCTCAAAATTTGCTTTCTCAAAGCAAGCTTGATTCGGCAGAGATCGATGCAAAGCGCTGCGCGCACCAGGCAAATACCAAAACATGTGCGGGGCAAACGCAATTGGTTCAAGTTAACCTGGTCGCCTTCTACTTGCACTGAAAGCATCTTGTAGCAAGCAGCTAAGGAAGAAGCCTATACCAAAGGTGGCGGTGCTTTGCCCGATGAAGGCTTGCCACTGTTCATGTTGCGCCATGACAGGTGAGGCAACAGGCCACGACTGTTGTGCGCCAGCTTTAAGACAAACGCATGCCAATAACATCTCCTCTCTTGTGTGGCTGCAAGCTCTCATCTCTTTTAAAGAAGAAGACTGAGAGCAGGCAGCCAATGAAACAGAAAACTTGGGTGACAGGGACTCAACCATGGCATTGCTAGGTGCTCTGGTATCTTTCACAGTACAGATCGATATGCAATGGAAGATCTTGGCTTCAACTATACTCGCTGTCTAGAAGGTTTGAGAACGACAAATTTAACCGTTTCCCATGTAACAAGTAAGCTCCCAGGCGACATGCGAAATCTCGTTCCTATTGGCCGCGGAGAGCCACAAGGTGGCGCCCCCCACTTTTAAGTAGTTGGTTTACAACCCCCAGTACCTATACCTACAGATATATGTATCATACACCATACTGTTTGGAGTTATGAAAGTTATGAACCAACTTTGTGTAACTATGGGGCACCGCTTTGCAGGTGTTGAAAAGAATGGATCCGCAACAAGCTTACACGCCTCTGACCGACACCGGCCACGCGTTGACTATTAGGCTTGGGCACTATAATAATTACTGCGCCGAACCATGCCGAACCCTTTGGGTATGAATTTTCTATTTTGTGATGCCACCAGCCCTTCCAGGCAACTTGGGAGGAAAAGACCTGTGAACTTGAATGTGCTGCGGCGGCGTTTTCCTTTTTGACCATCTTGTCCTTCAACACGCGCACATTCTCAATTGAACTGAGGTGTTTAGCACCTTTCCCCACGGGTCGACAAAGCGGGGACTTTGGTGGCAGGCTCTGCTCAGTGATCGGGGGGATTTCTGGCACCAAGTCCGCGGACATGTCGGGGGGACTTTTGCACTATAAAAACATGAGTCGGACATTGAATTGCTTTGTCATTTAGTCAGTAGAAATTAAAAAGCGTTTGTTTTCGTATGCGATTTAAAGTGCCCGGGGGGACTTTGGCATCATGTCCGCGGACATGGTACCAGAGTACCCCTGATCACTGAGCAGGGCCTGCCGCCAAAGTGCCCTCTCTGAGGTGCTGTTACCAAATAGCGTACGCTAATGCCTCGGCCTTCATCAACAATATTGCTCGGATTTTGCGCGCCCAACTTACTTCAATCAAGCAAATGTGTTCATCCAAAATTGCTTGCTTCAACGGCACGTGCACGTCTCCAGTTTCTTCTGGTTATGAACAGTTTGACACCCAAAGCGAACCCAGAAGATCTTGACACGTTTGACACCCCAGCAGGGTCAATGGCTTTCGAGGCACATGGGATCCATAGGATCAAGATGTTTGTGACTGTTTGCCGAATTTTCTACTCCATATTTCGCTCGGCCAGTTTGTCGAAGTTACTATAGTTCTTTCTGCTGACGGTGCCGCCAACCCTTCAGTCACCCCAGCTCCTTGCCTGAGTACCTTCGACACGTTGAAGCTCTCCTGGGTGTCGACCGGCACCTCGCCATGCAGCGAAAGATGAAATTTGTTCCGTTGAGGAGCATGGCCACCATGCCTTACAGGTGGAATACCTCTGCAGATTGAAATTTACAGCGTGGCAGCTGCACATGGAGGGAACTGCAGCCAGGGGCTTGGAGACAGACACGCACGTCCTTTTGCACCATGCCGTGTTGCAGGAACGGACATGCAGCCATGACATCTCTCAACTTGTGTCCTCGCACCATTGTGCACCAACATAACTTGAGGGTTCTGCAGATAGGTCTCCCATGCTTCTGCCGTAAAGACGTCAAACTCTTGCTCTCATTCATCGCATATGACTTTGATGCGCGTAGGGCCTGAATAATATTGGTCATGGTTTCTAGTTTCACTATGACCACCCAAACTGCAAACCGTTTCGACGCTGCCGGGTCCCAACGCCTTCCCATCTTTTGTTGAGTTTTGCGTTGTTGCGGCATTGCAGCCCATACTCTTCAGGTCCAGCAGCAACCCGCATGGCAGCTGCATATCGTGCAAGCCTCGCTGATACATGAATAACATTTGATGGGCGAAGTCTTGGATGAAGAAATGCATGACATGACAGCAGTCCGACCATAAGTCAGGCGGTGAAACTGCTCCAGCGCCGAAGGAAGGTCCGACAAGAAAAGCCCTGAATCAAGACCTGGGTCCTCGAGGCAAGGGCTGTCCTCAGCTGCTTGGGCGCAGCTCCTCCAAACCATGTGCCTGCCAGATTGGCTTCCTGCTTGCGGTTCTTTACGGCTTGCCGACAGGAGCCTTGGCTTGTGCGAAGGTCTTGCTGCATTTTACTGCCGGCAAGGGCAGCCCGGAGAAATGCCCAGCGACGTGCAAAGCAATGGTACTGTGACCCCTGAGTGGGGCCAAGGTCACTGGTCCAATGGTTGGAATTTGTGGGCACTTTGGGCTTGCGCTTTGAGGAGCACACCCAAAACCCCAATAATGGCCTGCTATGCAGATGGCAAAGAATGTGCCCAACCAACTGGCTTTGCCAAAGCAAGCCCATGGATTTCTCACCCGGCGGGCACCTTTGTGCCAGGCCCGAAGGTCAGCGACTTGAAAGTGCGGTGAAAAGGCCGCTCTTTGGGTTCCCAGCCTTCCAGAAAGGTACTTTCAAAGCGGGCGCTTTGAAGAGAAAACTTCGTTTCAAAGCGGACGCTTTGACGCCCAAACCTCCCTAAATCTTGCCATTTAATGCACATGTGCAAAGTGATTTTCAAACAGGCAGTCACAGAATGAAAACATAGTGCCATTCCTGGTCATTGAGATTCCATGCGGCAGGGGATGGGAGGAAGATCAGGTCAATGGATAAGTAAGCTTTGTCGGATGCAACGGGCGATTGACGGCATCATCACTTGAAGGTGCGGGCAAGAGGGTGTGAAGAGCTGGTGTGACGCCCCATTGTTATTACATACCTTTCATCTCCATCCAAAGTTGCCAAGGCAATAGCCATCCCGGTCCAATGTGTGACCATCCGGCTATATATACTCCCAAGTGCTCAGGTCGTTGCGATTTTCTTAAACTGAGTCTGTGCCTGTGGGAAACGAACTTCGCGGGGCTCGGTGCGAAACGGTGTGCCCTTGCAGAGTCGGCTCTTGATTGTGTTGAAGCCCGTGGCGCCGAAGGAAACATTGCAGTGAAACTCAGCTCACTGAAAGGTAACCAACATTGAACTCGCCATCAAAAAACATTGGTTTAAGTCAAAATCGGATGCAAGACAAAACGCGGGAAAAGTTAAACCATGTATATACATATTATTATTATATATTATATAATAAACACGGGCATGTTTTCTCATTCCTCCATGAACAAACAAGTGCAAAAAAGGAGGCAGTCAATTTTCAGGACACGGCACCTTCATTCGCAGCTCTTCGGGCACCACTTCCAAGTTTAAGGTCGAATTCCTCACCCGGAAGTTGGGCCAACCAGGATGCTCCAAACGCTGCCAAAGGACCTGGTTCATATTGTTCATAGTTCATCCCAATTTACGCCCTTTGATTTTGAATCCCCTTTATATCTATCCATCTATCCTTTTACAGTCTCCCAGAAGATTTTACACTGCAGCATTGAGCCCACAGTGGCTTCACAAATCGGCAAAAACTACTAGATATCAATCCCGATGGGCCCCTTGCAACATCTCTTGCAAGCAAGAGTCAGGAATGGAACCACTCCCCAAGCACACACAGCTACCTCGGTCAGAAAAGAACGGACTGATGGGGCCAGTGAAACTGTCATGGGATAGGGCAGCTACCGGAGCGCAGTGTATCTACTTAGTCTGGGGGTGAGAAGATTGTACACAATCACCGTCCAGAACAACAACGTAATCATTAAAAATAAGGATTGCTTGGAACAAGCGGCCAAGAAGCTTGAAGGAACGTGAAGGCCTCTGAATCTGGAACATAAGAACTTGAATGAAGAACATTGCATCCACTTCAAGAACAATTGTCCTCACATGGGCACTCCCACACTTCTCCTTGAATACGTTTGCCCAAGAATGGTACATGTCCCAAAATGTCAAAGATATGCAATGATGAACCATTAGATTTTAGACAATATGTATAAAAAACATGTGTATATTTATTGCAAATATTTAAATACAATAAATAAATACATATATTATATATATATATGTATTATTACCGACCGGTTTTTTCAGATACTCTGAGGGTACCCCAAATCGATTTACCCCCAAAAAAATGGAGGCAACCAAATCCTTGGACCTCCGGTATCCAGAAAAACCTCCACCTCAGGCCGTGGCCATGCCAATGCAAACGAAAAGGGAGAGGAATAGCCTCAGTCAGCAAATATCCACAGCGCGAAGGATTCCATCTCTGTAGCTGCGAGCTATCTACGCGTGTGTATTTTTTACGGTCATTGCGAAGGGATAGTTCATGGTGAAATTGATGTGAATTGTATAGCTGTTAATTCTAGCAGTATCTGCACTAAGTACTTCAATATTAATTGTGGGAAATCGATTCGACGGGGATAGTACTTGTTGATGGTAGCTCTCAGATGTGACAACTGGGACCCCTCAATGTTCCCAGCGCTGCATCCCAGCAACGGCTGGTTTTCCAGCAACCCCTTCATCCATGGCCGGCCTTGGCTGAACGCGGATACACATGGGCATGATGTTTAGTTGTCTTTGTTGAGCCCCAAACCAACCAGGCATGGACGGCACGCTTATGAACATTCAATAAATTTCACGGACAGGCATGAAATTCTAGGCAAATAATTAATCCTCATTATCCTCATTCCAGAGCGAGATCACTTTGGCATGATGCCTGGGCCAGTTTCATTTCGACGCACGCACAAAAATTTACTTCTCAAATCTCAAGATCTGCTTCTTGTCCACTTATGGTAATGAAGTCGTGCATCCACTGGAGCTACTGCACATCTTCCAGTAGTAGCATCCCTACCCAGCCTTCTTAGCCAATCCTACTCTATCGCTCTGCCAGTACGGTGCGTCATCAACATGAGCCATAGAGATGGGCAATCCGAACCCATAAAAAAATCTTATCATTCTGCAAAAACATTGAAAAATCACCGAAAAACCATTATAATTCCAACAAAACATTGAAAACCATGATCATTCTGCAATTCGGGCTGTCCAGGACTAGGCTGAAGTGGACTTGGCTGATGGGCTGTGTTTGGTGGCTGTGGGCCCCTTAAAATTGCAAAATACGGGGGCAGATTTTATGCAACCTGATAGCTAGTACTGTACAAGAATTTGTGATTTTTTGTGAAACGCATGCCAGAAGATGTAACAACATTGTATTACAACCCTTGCGATTGTCTTGGGCAATGCTGATCTACGCCCTGGACGCCCCTGGACTTGTAAACTGGTATTGCGTGAGGCCGGGGATTGAGTGGCTCCAAAGTCTGTGTTGCCCCCTCTCCACTCCGTCTTGGAATGTCTGTCAGGCAACCTTTGTAGTTGACAAAGATGACGGAGACCTGCTAGTTCAGTAGTGAACATAACTGATCAGCGGCAAGTCAAAGTCAATGCTATTGCAATATTGCTGAGAGAAAAGTGTACCATGATGGCAACTATACAATGCAACTACCACAAAGCAGCCTGCTGCGCGGTTTCGACCAGCCAGCAGCAGGTGTTCAGCAAGTTGTTCCTCAAATCAGTAGATGCAACATGCCCAACATGATGCAACAGTCAATGGGATGTCTCCAGGGCCAATCCATTGTCACCCCCAGTTGGAAAAATCCCAAAATCTCGCCAGAGACTGTGCTTTCCAATCATGATCCAGGAACTTGAAGGGAACTGAGCTAAACCAGTTCCATTCGCTCATCTCTTCCTCCGTCATCGCCTCAATTCGCTTGTTCCGCTCCTGCAGGTGTTTGCAAGAGCCCTAGAGCCCTCCCGAATGGAAGAACGAATCAACGCTGGCAAACCGCATGACTGACACAAAAGCTGGAAGGGTTTGGAGCTGCCAATCTTGTCAAGCATTCCCAGAAACAACTGGGGTTTTTGAATGTTTTTGACACATGTGGAGGTATAGCCTGCAACATCTGCCACTTGCCGCGGCGCCTTCCAAAAGACCTACAAACACACCTGCCCCAGACTGGTGCAACGGTCCTTCTCAAATTCAATAATATCTCGAACAGCCTCCTCTCCCATCACTTCCTGGCGGCTAGGGACATGTTCAGCATGGTTTGGATTGGAAATGCTTCAATTGCATGTGGTTTCAATCATTGTTTGGTGCTTATCTTGCTTTCTAATTTGGGGCGTCGCGCCTTAGCAAGGTTGGCGATGTACACCATGCAGACGAGGTGGATGGCAAGCTGTCCAAGCATACCTGAAGCTGGTACATTCTCTGGAGCTGAGCTACCCTGGTTTGCATCATGTCCAACTCCTAGCAACTAGTCCTAGAATCTGGGACCGCTGTAGGGATTCTTTGTGGACGAACAATGATTCACGTGATTCTCATCCGGGTTGGCTGAAATGTTTCCAGACCTTGGATTGCAACCACAATGAGGTCCCAAACTACCAACCCAAGACCAAAACTGCTGACAACTACTGGATCACCTGTTTCAACCATGCCCTAACATCTGGCCTGTATAACATCCTATATTTACCAAAAGGGGTATACCATGGGGTTACCATATATCCATGTATATCCTATCAGTCCTATCACTTCACCTTCGGCAGCTCCCTCTGAGTGGCTGAAGAGGTTGGCCGGGTGGAACACCGAGGAGAGCGGTCTCACCGGATGCATCCGATCCAACGGCCTGGTGACCGAAACACCGGGCAGCTTGTGGGATGACAGAAAATACTACACTCTCTAAATATTTATTTTTGTTGGATCTTGTTGGCAAATGTTGATATTTTGTATGCTTGACTCGTGGTGGCAAATTTTCGGAAGCGGAACTGTTGACTGTTGAGTGTGATTGCTTGTGAAATGAATCCTGGCAGTACCCGCAAATGATGCAATTTCGCTGGATCGATGACCGCAATTTGGAAAAGTTGCCATCCTGGGTAGCGTGGCTAAAACAGAGTCAGCCAACATCCCAATCCTCTGGTGGTTGTGCCCAAAAAATATTCGTATTTGATTGCTGAATCCTCCCACGCTGGGGACAAAAAACAAAAAATATGTGGGAGCAACAGCCATCCAATTAGGATGACAGCCTTCGAAATCCGCAGGTACCAGTTCTACCCCCGAAATTGCCTGGATCTACAACCCATACAGCCCATCTACTGAAACATGCTGAACCAACTGGATGGATTCGATGCTCTGTTCACGCCATTCTTGCCTTGCAAAGGAGAAGGCCAAGGATGCGATGCCGACGAAAACGCCACTGGCCATCATCTGCCTCGACACGATGGGACAAACCCGGATTAAACAGCTGCATTGAACATCAGTGCACAACTCAAATAAAAACTATATATTTCCATATGTTTGCATATCGATCGTCTGATAGTGGCAAAGACCAGCATGTTTGATTCAAATGATTAAATAGATTGTGCTGGAACTAACCCACACAGCACTAAAACACAACATGTTCAAATTCAAACACTCCAAACATACTTCCACCTGAGCATATATATTTAAATTTATTCATATGTTTTTTCTGGTATAATGAGCCAAGGAACGGTTCGGATGGTCTCGTACCATCCACTGACATTGTGGACATGGTGTAGGCTGCGATCATGGACTCCAACATCATCATTTGCATCCTCCAATCCGCTTGGGGTTGGGGTTGTCAACGGAAGCACCCAGTTGGCACTGGTGAGTGGTAAAATGAATGCCCTCACATGCTGGATATTGTTGATTGGCATTTGAAGCTGGTAGCCTTTCTTTTAACTTCTATTGATTTATACTTGTATAACCTTGCCTGCTATCTTTCTGGAAGTTTGGAATCATTGAATCATTCTGACCATCCTTGAGCTCCAAGCAGCCCTAGCTGTCTAGCCATCTCACCTCCCTTGATCCCAAGGGTGACTGGTTGATCCTGCCGTTGCAAAACCCTAAAAGCATCGCAAGTTCGAGGAGGCAACATGCTCTAGACATGATAGTAATTGATCGTACACAATATATGATTATGATTCATGATTGATTGTGCATTTACATGATCGTATCAACTTACATAGACCTCAAGCATCCTATACCCGGATATTCATTGGTTACAAATTTCTTTCCAGGGCAGATTTTGGTTTGATTTCTGTCCATTTTCTGTAGATTTGCCCATTTCAAAAAAAAAACATTTCAAGAAAAAACTCACCACTTCATCTTTTCATTTTTGAGTCATGATGAATCTGCCCGGGTATTTCCGCCCTTTTCCCGGGTATTTACGTCCTTTTCATGGGAATTTCCGCCCAGAAAAACCGACACATTTTTACGCAAAGTAGAGTAAGATCAGCCCAAAAGGTACGAAATCCAAAATTGACCACAGTAGTCAAAAAATTACCATTTCTAGCTCCTTCACAAGAAATCCGCCCTAAGGGCAGAAATCTTGCAAACGGACAATTATTTGTGTCCTTTCGAAGATCCAGGTATATAATATCCTATCACATCCTATCACATCCTGAGGTCCTGAACCAGTCCCGCAGTGCAGAAATCTCAGCCAAGCATCTGCTGCACAGCAGAGAGGAGAGTACATCTTCCCTGTCGAATGATGTCCACCACCTGGGTGCGCGGGCTATGCGGGCTGCTTTCCCAGGGGATCCCACCGTCGCATCGCCATGACACAGAGCTGATGGATGGTGTCCGTGTGGTGAAGGGCGCAGCAGTGGAGGCATCACCCAGCTGCACCATGGGAGTATCCTCCATGGAGTCCAAACCTGCGATTGAAAAACGCCCAGGTCAAAGGGTGTGCAAATGGTGATGATGCTGATCACAATCAGTGGTGATAAACTGTGAATGAAGCGTGAACTATGTATCATTGAGTGTAATTGGCCCTTATTCTGATCATTATACTAATTTCGATAATAAAAAGCGGTAAAGTCGTATGATAGATATGATAATCACATGTCACAGGAGGTTCAGGCATTCCAAGAATCAACCAGCTCATGGCCGCACCTTTCAAATCCTGTGCCATTCATTTGAATGGTGAATGCTTAAGTTATCGTTTATCGAACATGATGCGCCTTCTGCCCATTTTGCAGCTCCGGCTGCGAAAGCAGTGCCATGCTTTTTCTGCTGCAATTCTTGTTCCTCCACATACAAATCCGTGAAAATGTCCAGCAGGAAGCGAGAATGCATTATCAAACTGGAACTTCCATGCTCCGTGGTTCATCTAAGGGGTTTTCAAGCAACTTCACCTCGTAGTTACTACGATTGTTCCAACCAAATGTTGAAATAAACTTCATGGATCTTTCATATTTCCACCAGAAACCACCCCTGGCATCCATCGGCCGTGCATTGATTATATTGGCCATGTATGGCCATCGGCCATGGCTCGCCTTCTTCATCTCTGCTTGGAGTCGGCCCATGACGGATTTCATGGCCGAAAACTGCGCCATGACACCCACATCCTCGCCACGTGCCTTGCGCTTCTCTAGCTCTTCCTGGCGAGGAGCAGCCAAGGCTGCTCAGCCAGACCAAAGAAGTTGAGGAATATGTTGGACTCATGTACCTGCTGTACTTAGCTTTGTGCATATAGAATCATCATACCGATACCTTTCAATATATTTGTGTATCCATCCATCTATCCATCCACCCATCCCAATGAGTGATACTAGATTGGAGTGATAGTTTTCCACGAGACATTATTGAACATCTGTGGTTCTCAGTGCCTTTGGCCCTGCCCTACCCGCCCATCCCTTGATAGATGTAGTTGATGTAGTCATATAATATGGGAAGTGTGTGCATGTCGTGCGCAAAGACGAAGGCTCCTGTATCCATTCCTGCTGCTTGGAGACCAAGTCCTATCCGAACAGAGAGAAGGTCACCTGTGCCATGAAATGATTAAAATGAAGCTGTCACACTCTGCACATCCCTGCACCTTGTTCTTTTGCGATCACTCTCTTGGAATGTTTTTTGGCTTGGGCATCCAGTGTCTTACTCTCTTGGAGTCACAATGGCATATCCACGATAATCATCAGCCAAAGCAAGTGTCTTGGCTTGCCAAACCACAGGTACACAAATATCACAGGAGTCCTTACGCTTGCGCTCCATTTCTACCTTGGACTTCCTCAGCTAGCTCTTGTAGACACTGAAACGCTCTTGCAAACTCACAAGCGGTAGAAAACTAGACGACGGATGGCCCGAGAGCGTAGAGGAGCAGGGTCTTCTCTTGTTAGTATGGAGACGCAATATTAGAAACGATATATGAAAGCTGTGTTATAGGCAGTCGAGAAGAGAAGTATCAAGACAAAATAGTGAGAAGTGCAAGACAATAGTTTGCATCGCAAACACTTTTACACACAGACGCTTTTACACAGACGCTTTTACACACAAAGCTTTTACACACAGAAGCTTTTACACACAGAAGCTTTTACAGACAGAAGCTTTTACATACAGAAGCTTTTACATACAGAAGCTTTTACACACAGACGCTTCTACACAGACACTTTTACACACAGACACGTTTACACACAGACACTTTTACACACAGATCCTTGTACACACAGGAGCTGCTTTTACACACAATCGCTTGTACACACAGAAGCTTTTACACATAGACGCTTTTACACACAGGCACTTTTACACAGAAACACTGTTACACACAAACACTTTTACACACAGGCGCTTTTACACGCAGACGCTTTTACACACAGACGCTTTGACACACAAACACATTTACACACAGAGGCTTTTACACACAAACGCTTTTACACAAACACTTTTACACACAAACACTTTTACACACAGACGCTTTTACACACAGACGCTTTGACACACAGACGCTTTTACACACAGACGCTTTTACACACAGAGACTTTTACACACAGACGCTTTTTACACACAGGCGCTTTTACACACAGACAAAAACGGCACAAGTAAAATCGCAATTTTACCTCAGTTTTTGCCGATCGACCCTCATTTCGTGCGAAAGGGTTGCTCCGGGGCAAGTCAAATCGCAATTTTACCTCAGTTTTTGCCGATCGACCATCATTTCGTGCGAAAGGGTTGCTCCGGGGCAAGTCAAATCGCAATTTTACCTCAGTTTTTGCCGATCGACCCTCATTTCGTGCGAAAGGGTTGCTCCGGGACAAGTAAAATCGCACTTTTACCTCAGTTTTTGCCGATCGACCCTCATTTCGTGCGAAAGGGTTGCTCCGGGACAAGTCAAATCGCAGTTTTACCTCAGTTTTTGCCGATCGACCCTCGTTTCGTGCGAAAGGGTTGCCGTAGCACAAGTAAAATCGCACTTTTACCTCAGTTTTTGACGATCGACCCTCATTTCGTGCGAAAGGGTTGCTCCGGGACAAGTAAAATCGCACTTTTACCTCAGTTTTTGACGATCGACCCTCATTTCGTGCGAAAGGGTTGCTCCAGGACAAGTCAAATCGCAATTTTACTTCAGTTTTTGCCGATCGACACTCATTTCGTGCGAAAGGGTTGCCGTTTCGTGACTGACCGCCGGCACCACCCTCGGCCTAAAGAGAGAAAGATAAAGAAGGCGAGAGAGAGAAAAAGGAGAGAGAAAGGAGAGAAGATGTGAATATGAGCAGATGTGAAGATGAGCAGATGTGAAGATGAGCAGATGTGAGAGAAGGTGTGAAGATGAGCAGATGTGAAGATGAGCAGATGTGAGAGAAGATGTGAAGATGAGCAGATGTGAAGATGAGCAGATGTGAGAGAAGATGTGAAGATGAGCAGATGTGAGAGAAGATGTGAGAGCAGATGTGAGAGAAGATGTGAGAGAAGATGTGAGAGAATATGTAAGAGAAGATGTGAGAGAAGATGTGAAGATGAGCAGATGTGAGAGAAGATGTGAGAGAGATGTGAGAGAAGATGTGAAGATGAGCAGATGTGAAGATGAACAGATGTGAGAGAAGGTGTGAAGATGAGCAGATGTGAAGATGAACAGATGTGAAGATGAGCAGATGTGAGAGAAGATGTGAAGATGAGAAGATGTGAGAGAAGGTGTGAAGATGAGCAGATGTGAAGATGAGCAGATGTGAGAGAAGATGTGAAGATGAGCAGATGTGAGCAGATGTGAAGATGAGCAGATGTGAAGATGAGCAGATGTGAAGATGAACAGATGTGAAGATGAACAGATGTGAAGATGAGAAGATGAGATACAGATGTGAAGATGAGAAGATGTGAAGATGAGAAGATAAGATACAGACCCCCACTATTGGAAGAACCCTGCGCTCAGACGCTCTCGGGAAAAACAATGATATGTAGTAGGTGGGCAAATGGCAAATAGGCCAAGATTAGTCAATGCACTGACAACTTGCCGTTTGTTCCAGGTACTGCATATATCTACATATCTGCACACACACACATACACACACACATGATATATTTATAATATTTCCCCACATGCCAAATACTAGTTCAAGACCGTGCCGGCTTGTCACGTGACTGACTTGCTTCATATCCCTCATATTTGTAGCCGCGTTGACGCAAGGCCGAGAGTCTGCATGATTTCCTGTGCTTTCTGCTGGTTTTCCTTTCGCACAGCTTCCAAAGCATCTTCTGCTTTTCCGACGTCGGCTTTCTGCTCCTGACACTGGTCATAGCAACGATGAATACCTGTTGCGAATCGCCATGACCTGTGTCAGTTTTCCTGTAAGTCACAATGCATTGGCAAAAATGATGCAAACTGGAGCATGAATAATAGATCTTGTTGCTGAAAAGCAGGTGTTAGTTAGTACTAATTAGTGCGATTCATTGCGATTCATGTTTATCACCTTCCCACTTCTACCACGTTTGAACTCTGCACAGCTGTAACCTGTCAGGCCATCACTCCCCACACCAGCACCTCCTGGTTCTTGGCATCCACATTGGCATTTCCAAAGCCGCTCAACAGAGCCAGGCCAACATCTGCCTGAGGCGACCCTGGGTCCACCAGAAAACCCTCAAGGCGATGTACGGTGTGGCAGTGGAGCTCTACTGCGTACACAGCGCCTTTCTGTTCTAGTGGCTATAGACCCACCATGTTGGGGCTCCTCTCTGACTCTCTTCATCATTGGGGTCACAACGGTCATAAGGGTCACAACGGTCACAAGGGTCACAACCCTTCCCCAAAAACGGCGAAGGTCGAGATGTTGAGAGATGTTGAGAGCCTCCTTGAGGGCGCCAACGTCATTGCCACCATCGCCACACATGAAGGAATAGCTCTTTTCGCTCTTCCTCACGGCCTGCACCCGTGCATGACATTTTTGCACAGGATTTCACAAATCCAGGTGGTCGGATTTGGTAAACAAGATTAAACAAGCCATAGATAGCCACAGGCAAAGTCATAATCCCATCTGAGCTGAGGTCTATCTTTCTCCATCATCTGAGGTCAGCAGGGTGGAGATTTCTAGGCTGACCTGAATTCTGAACCTCTCAGGGTACCTCCATAAGTATTCACCAACATGTTTCCCATACGGCCCCAGAACCAAACAGAGAATCTCAAGAAGGCCAACCTGGCCAACCCCAACCCACACAAACTTATGCTGTCCTGATGTGGACACGTTTGTCCCTCAAAAGCATAGGCTTTTAACACGGTAACTTTCCTGGGGATCCCCATGAAGCCGTTGGAACCAGCCGTTGGTCGGTTGCCAAACAACCTGAATGATCTGCTCCTTCTGGAAGGGTGAAAGCCGAGCAAAGATCTTGACACTGCTCAGCTGCGCCTCGGCACGGTGGTGCTCAAAGACTTAATCCTGGATGATATCATGAAACATATTATATACTGCATATACACACATGTATATATATATATAAATATTTTTTTAAAAAAAAAAAAACATTTTAAAAATATGATATATATATGTATATGATTCATGATATAGTAATGGAATAGGTAATATATAGATATTTAACATGTTTAATCACGACCTAACTCTCACTTATACTAACTTTTAAATAAAATAGACTAACATAAACCATGATCATGATGCTTGGATATCTTTTATGATATCTTTGATATCTTTGCCTACCTGATTCTACCTGATTCAACTACAGGATCTGATGTTTACGACTGACATTCGCTGACCACACCTGCATCGTCTGGGTATCCCCCTGCTGCCAAGCACGCTCCAGGGGTCCACCGGTGATGATCAAATCCCGGCTTTCCCCGAGCTTTCGGATGCCTGGCATGGCGAGGCAACAAGCACGGTTGGGGTATGCCCTCCCAGTTTGTAGGTCATGTATCATGTCCCAGGGAAACCCATTGATTTCATTTGATTTCCATATTTGTTGGTTTACTGGAGCTTTTATTATGTCAAATAATCAAGGTCAGCGGCATGCCGATACTAAGGGACATGCCGATACTAAGGGCCTTTGATGCGCATGAGAGGAATATGGAAGGCCTTTCCAATGGTCTTTGCGAAAATCACTTCCCATGACCATGACTCTGCAAAGCCCGGCATGGCTTCAGGAACCCGTTTACAGTAATGGAATGTTGGATGAAAGCTCAGGGGCGACTCAGGAGAAGCAAATCCAAGGGCAGCGGAAACACCCAGTTTCTGCCACCTGCAGCCTCAAACTTCACAGGCTCTACCTGGCCGAACACAGCCAAGGCTGATCATGGTCACTCACAGGGGGATACTTGACACAGTTCCATGTCACAAAGCGTCTACCTCTAGGGTGGGTGCCCCCGCCTTATCACCATTGGCACCTGATGTGATGGCAGGACGCCACTCTAAGCCATCCTCACCGACTTCGGTGAGCACCAAAGCATTGTTGGGGCTAAACTGCGCGATGCCCACCTGTCTGGAAGCAGGCGATGGAATCGGTTGCAAATCATTGTTTAAAATATGTTTCCTGGATCATAGACTTGAGAGGAGCAAACAACAAACCTGTTGAAGCCGTGTTTTTCATCACATTATACAATATAAGTTACATATAGTTACATGCAGTATAAGACCGATCAACATACTTGACAGAGCTGTTCCTTGCCCTTCGTGCTATTGAAACACATGAAAGATGCACAAAGGGCAAGCGGCCCATGGCCATGAAACAAACAAGTTTCCGCCTCGACAGCAACACTGAGCGCCGTCAAAGGTGCATCGCCCGTGAGCATGACGCAAGCATGGCTGGAGTCCTGCTGACATAGCCATGTCAGAAATATGTCAGAACTGGGTTGTCGTTGTGCATCCTTGTGCATGTTTAGGACTTTGGAGAATGTTGTCTGCATTGGTTTTAAAATGGTTTAAAATGGTTTAAACACGTTGAACCATCTTGAAACTGTGTTGGTTTCCACTGGCCCCTGCCGATGAGGCTTCTTGCATGGCGATTTGGAGAATGACAACACGGGAAGGGAGTCCCTCAGACCCCGTTCTAGACCTTTTGGAAGAGAAAAATATCAACAAGTGTTTCCGAGTAGATGAGGTCAATGATGGATCAAAATTGATCAAAACTAAATGGCTTCGCGAAGGGAATTCTATGGCTTTGTGAGTCATGTTTGGCCCATCCCAATCGTACCCTTGTGATTCACGAGTGCTTGAAGCACACTTCAGGCGCGGGTCCTGCAAGGATCTGATGACTAACATGCTATCTTTTCGGGTTTCGCCTGAGACCGAGCTCAGCCTGCTGGGGGTTGCGACTACGGATGTTCCTACCATTTTGTAGTCTAGTGATCCTCATTTACTTGTTGGTTGTGAAGGGGAATGACATGGATGACCCTCTATTGACCAACCAGTAGAAAAAGGACAACTATGGTGGCAACGCATATTTGGTCCCTAGCCCAATTCACATTTTGCTGCTGGGGCCCGCCTTGAGGCTCCTCAATAGTTGAAAAGTCGTGGCTTTTAACGGGATAACTCCTCACTTCTATGTTTCGGCCAAGTCTCACTTGAAGGCGATGAAACCCGCGAAGGTCAAATGGCTTTCCACTTCTTCTCGAGGCTTGTTGCCCAAATCCGAAGTGTCAACTGCAGCTGTTTGCAGTGGAAAGGAGCAACACACGAGTCTGAACAAGTCGAAGTTTCCGCACATTGGCAACCATGAGATGTACATCCGGCATGTAGCAAGCCTATACTTATATATACTTCATACCCAATCATGCTCAGAATGGCATCCAATCATCTGTATGTGTATAATATATATATAACAACCAGCCCAGATTATGAGCCATTGATGTTGCCAGTTTGCCTGTTCTCGCCTCCAGGACAAGCCAGGACAATACAGTGACAGGTGCGGCCAGGAGTCCCCAACAAATAGAAAACACCACTTGGTGCACCCCAAGTCCCCGAAGCGACAGGTGCTGACCATGGCACCTATGCGTGTGTATGCCAGCGCCAAAACGCGCTGCCCCTGCCGCTCTGTGCAAAGCAACATGCATTAATATTAACAATGGTACCAATGGTACCAATGATTACGTCACATTGGTTTGATTTGGTTTGCCTCCATGGGGGTTCCACCTTCACTAAGGAAGCAACTCTCTTTGGCAGGCCTACTTGTGATCAACAGAATAATGAAGCCAAAACCGACTTTTTGTGAAAACTTTGCACTAAATCATGGCAGTACGTGCCACAACGGATGAGCTCAACTCGTTTGGGATATCCATGGGTCCTTGCAATCAACTGTCAAGCCCAAAAACATGCAATCAAAGTCCTAAAGTCGAAGACCAAAGTAGTATCTAGGTCTTTGGGTAAAGTCGGTCGATATAGGTCAAACTCTGAAAACACCGATATTTTCCTTGGATTTGGAGGGTCAATAAGAAACCTATGCAATCTGCAATTGTCATATACGTCTATTATATATACACGTTTAGGTTATATGCATTATTGCATATATATATAATTATATATATAATATATTACATATACACTGAGTCTTGGACTTGATCCCCCATGCTGCCCCAACTGCACGCATCCGTTCTCCCACCTGCTCAGCCATGGACTTGTAAGCACTGTCGTACCAAGAGGGCCTTGGCACATCCAACATATTCATACTGATTCATACCTATATTCCCATTCAGAACTCAATGAGGGCTCCAAATATTCAAAATGTTTCACAACATGTTTCAAAAAATGTTTCACAACATGTTTCACAAAATGTTTCACAAGATGTTTCACAATGTAGAGGTTCCTGGGCAAGTCGCTTCTCAGTGTTGTGAGGATTTTTCCATCGAGTGTGGCTCCAACGGGTCCAACAAATTGAGTTGAGTCAGGTTCAAGCAGGTTGCAGCAAGTTCGTGGCTCCCCTCAACTTCGGGTTGAGCCGTTCCAATTAATCCCTCATAATCTCTCCAAGAGCCTCGAAAATGGAGAGCAGTCTGCCAACATCAAAGTGTAGAATGCTACAACCATGAGCCACCCCAAATAATGACAATAGATGACAATCGCACAGAGTTATGTTTGAAGTAAGTGCCACAAAACATCAGGTAAATCAAGTACCTCACATCAGCAATGCCTATGGCCTATGGAATACCATGTTGGTAATTGGTAACACCACAAGGTTTCAAGATGATGTTGATGAAATGCACCATAGTTACTTGATGTCAGCGAACAGTTTCCTTAAGTTGCCTGCTCGATTCACACCTCTTGTCATGTCGTTTTAGTATTTGACATGACTGAGCAGCTCCATCAATCTTCAGCTTCTCCATGACCGACCACCCCACTCAACTCATCATGCTTGTGAACATCCACTAAACAGTTGGAAAATTTATCCTTATCCACCCAAATATGGGTTTGTCATGATTTGTCTGCAAATAGGGCACCCCCAGACCCATAGAGGAACCATCATTATCTCCATTAAAATTGCCGTTTCAATGCGGCATACAACATTTTAAGACAAACCATAATTGGATCCTTATAATTCCTTATACCCCCAAATATGGCATAATAATCATAATAATGGATATCATAGGTCATAGGTGTTTTTTGCGGCACACATCCCCCCCACATATCAAGCGGCTTCTCCTGCAACAGCTTCGCTATAGCCTCAGGTGAGCCCTTCACTAAGCCATAGACCTTGGATCACCAGGCCACCAGGGTAGTGGACGCCCGAAAAACCCCACCCAGCACATAAAAAATCCGCATGGCACAGCGAGTTACACCATGTTACACCAGGGAAACAGAATAGTTACATGACAAAACCCATTGGCACAGCAGCTTGGATGTTCCTGTTTTGAAGTGGCTGCAAAGCTTGAATCATATCCCCGGGAGGCATTTAGCTATGTCCGGAAGCCAAAATCTCAATTGCACGCCGCCAAAAACAATCCCAGGTCACAAGCCTCACACGGTATCAACATGATGTGACCACATGATGCCACCGTGTCACGCCGGACTGGCATTTGTCAGTCGCGCAAGTCACCTTGCAAATGGTGCTCATCCTCAGTGGGGCAAACAGCTTTGAAACTCATATCAACTGACAAACCCAAGAGAATGATTTATACAACATATATACAACATTGTTGCAATGCCTTGGTGGATCTGCCCCCCCTGCGAAACAAAAAAATGGCCCTCCCAGGTCCCGCTGCAGCCGTACCTCTGCAGGTCGGAAGAGAAGTGGAAGCGATGTTTGATCGCCACCGTCAACTTCCCCGCCTCCACTTTGTCCGCTTTCAAACCTGGGCCATTGAGGTGCTTCCAACAAAAAAAACAAGATAAAACAACTGGTGCTGACTGAGCCAATTTAGCCCAAAAAAGAAAGGTCTACACTACATGCGTCATATAGTTTGTCTTTGGTTTAATTGTCCGTGTGCGGTAAATTTGGTGCTTTAAATATGTCCTGAAATCACAACTAAAGCAACCTGTTGAGGCAAGGATTCCCTCAAACGCTCCATAGCTTCCAAGGCACTCTTTTCGAGATCTTGGATCTTTTTGCTCACCTAAAGTGTAAAACCCATGACCACGAAAACCAATAAAGGACCGTAAGTGGAGCGGACGGCTACCAAATTGAGACAAAGGTCAGAATTGATTTCAAGTTGCCAGGCCGCTACAATGCGAAAACACTGCCACACAAAGCCAAGGGCACATGGTGAACCGGCGATGTTTGACGGATGAATCAATTCAACTGATTCAATTGTGCCAGAAACTATGCTCAATACAAACGTCCTAAAGATTCCCAAAGCCATCTGCAGGATTCTGCAAGATTCTGCAGGCCTCTTCCTTCTCTTTTTTGTCCGACTCAATGTCATCCTTTAATCCAGCCATGTACTCTTTCTGTCTTGCGATGGTGATCTCCTGGCGCAGTTGCCGATCCCCGGGATATCCATTGAAGAAATGAACTATGAACTCTCTCATCTCTCTCGCTCCATATCGCCTACTATGAACTAATAATTACTGTGAACGAAAATAAGCGTCCTTCCCCCCCGGGCTATCCGCCTTCGCTCGCCAGTTTGATGGCGATGCTGTGCTACTGGAGGGCTGGTAACTCCAAGCCTTGCTGTTTTCGGGGGCTGTCATTGATTCCAAAGTTCCCCATCCTGGACCCTACAGCAACAAAAGAACATGCGGTGATGAACAAAAGCCGGTCTGTTTCTGATTAAACTCCTAGCACGGGAGAGGGAAAAAACATGAAACAACCATCCAAGGTTACTTTCCACTGTCCACACTTTCCTAGCAAGCTTCCAACTGAAGGCCCACCGAACAGGTCAAGCAGCAATGGAGCGCAGCGCAGCCACTTCAATCGGATCACCGAGCAACTTGCTTTCCACTTCAATCCTTGAATTCGTCAAATGTTTGGAGAGTGTAGGTGATTGCCGTGATTGCTCCCAAACATTAGTATAGCTGGTTTACTTTGAAATTTGGGGATCAATTTGGTATCTTGTGCTTTCATACCCCAAGATACTCTAACAAGGGTCAGACCTGAGCACTGTCGGATCAGGTGGGGTCACTTAAGGTGATCATGGCACCACAGCCGTGCCAAGGTAGAGCAGGGAGTTCCTTTTTTGGCCACGCCCAGCTGATTCTATATATCTGGGTAAATTATAATATTTCACTAATCTGAATTAAGGCCATTTGGGGATGATTCCCCTTATTAACCATGATTCCAGTGAGGTCACAGTGAGGTCGTTATAATTTACCCAGATATATTGCAACAAATATCGGTGTACAAACTGCCGGCGTTCCACTTGGGGATGTAGAGTCAAAGAGTCCACTTGACTGTAGTGGCAAGTCAAGAGCAGTGATGGCAGGATAGTGATGTTTGTTTTTGTGCAACATTCTCAACCGTAAGATGTGCGTTGTTCTCCCCCAAAAAAGATAAGAAACGATGAAGCATTTGTCCCTGAAGCCAGCAATGCAGTAGTCAATTCAAGTGGCAGAGAGTGACAACCTGCAAGCACTACACACGCCATGGTGTTAGCATCCTTGACCTCGACTCCGAGCCAAGCGACGAGAAATTGACATCCAGGGCTCATGGGCTGGGAGTGCAACAACAAGAACTGCATCAATAGTCAACTACTATGATACACTATGATAAACTACAATGTGTTAAACTAATTACTGTACCATAAAGCTCTGATAAATGGACTTCCCGCAGTTTACCATCCAGTTGATCCTTTTGTGTGCGCCGACATCGAAGCACGTAGTTACCAAGGCACTGCCGCGACTTTGGGCGCCTTGTCACCACCGCCTGGGACACAATGCATCATGATGAGTCAGTGAATGTGAAATTCACATAAAACTATGATATTATTAAATACGTATCATATAAATTCAAATAATATAAAATATGTATAGTTTATCATTATATATAATGAATATTCTGGATGCATCCCCAGATCCATCCCCAGACATATAATGTTTGATGATAATCAAGGACTTAGGCCAGTCAGGGAAGAAAATTCGAAGAATCTCTGGAAGAAACTGGAAAAGGGCCATGGGTTCACCAACAAAAAAGCATGGCTGCATGATCTAATGCCTGCATTCACGATGCCCACCGCCACCATCTGATCACTCGTCAATGTACCTGTCCTTACGTCCAGCATCGTCCAGCTTGCTGGGCCCCCAATGAGATCTCGCACACGTGGAATGCTTTAAGATGCTTCAAGTACAGGTTGTGTTTATGGTTTTGTCCGGGGCATTGATAGTTGGCCAAACCACTGAAGCAAAGTTCAAGTGCTACACATCGCAAACTGAAGTGAGTCATGTCGCTAAACATGGGCAAAACTGCTGCTTCTGTTTTGGAAGCCCATCCCTAGTGCTGGTGGCACCCTTTTACATGGAACATGCACCGCTAAGACCGCTAAGAAGGGTGCCAAGTTTGCCTATCCCATCACTTGTTTCAGAATCAAATCCTCGATGTCTCACCACCTATTTGACTCAAAAAACTCAAATGATAAGAATTAGCGACCAGAATGGCGTTGAACTGCACACTGCTCCTAATAACATCTGATATCCAGCCCGGACGATTATCTTACTAGCAGAGACATGCACAGCTCTGTCCACTGTGATACTGCAGCAACTTCTACATACTTCTACTCTGAAACACAACTCTGCTTGACTCCATCTTGGCCAAGGGTCTTGTCGAAAAAGCAATGCGACACACGCCCAGCATATGGCACTCGAAATGGCTCAGTGCAATAAATGCCTGACCTCAAAAAACATGCCATGGTGTCCATCTGCCTGGCGATACACGCCACAAGTTTCACAAGTCAGTTGAAATATCCTAAAATGACCAACGTATATCGTATCTATCCATTGAATTCCATTGATCCATCTGTGCAAAAACATGGGTGGATGAAATTATTAGCCGATATGTCCGAGATTGTATAAGCTATAGGCTATGATGATTGAGTAAATATATGGGTGTGTCTGAAAAGAGTGCAGTGAGAAACCCCGGTTGGATTGGATTATTATATGGCAATATTTTGGGGATTAACATCCAGCTTTTAGACAAACCAGGAAATCATATTGTTGGTTACAGTACATATGCCATTCAAATCCCATGTCCAGTTGTGGTGTTATCAGTTATCATTAATATGTTAACTCCCAAACCTTCTCAAACCACTATAAATGACTATAAACACCTTGAAAGCAGCACCATTTGAGGTATCTCTGACCTTAGGACGGGCCACTTCAACAGACTCATCAAGGCGGTGTTCACGGCAAATGCCATCTGCATCGGTAGTGATGGTGGCACCACTGAGGTGATAATCCTTGGAGCCATGTCCCTGGTGACCCTTCCGCCGGGATTGAAAAGGGAATGAATGAACATGAATGAACATGAATGAATATGATTCATACCCACTTTACCTTGCAAAAAAAGAGATTCCTCATTTTATTCTAATTTGGATGTGTACCAAGGCTCTGAGTGCAGCGGATGAGAGTCTTGTAGGTTGGCCGCGTTGGATCTTCCGATGCCTTCCTGGTTGCAGCACGATGTTTGTGGGCAGTGGCGATGCCGGCTATGCCCAACTGGGGAACTCATTGGGCACCTTGTTGGGCAACCAAAATGGTTTGATCTATCTTGATTTTGTGCTGCTAAACTGGTTTCGTGTCAAAATCTGTAGTCACCAGGGGCTTCAAGTGTGACCTCTCCCCATGTTAGGCATGGTCGTTTTGATCCTTAGACATCTGCTTGGAGCTAAGGATTTGGCTATAAAATGCATCTCCGTATAATATGTGTTCTGAACACAAATTCATGCTATGGAATTTGAATATAATAATCCAAAACATTGCAAAACAACTCAACAATCATGCTCCCTGTGGCCAACCAGTGTCAAGCGCCAAGACTCTTCATGACATATCCAGCTGCAACCAGGGCAAAAACTAACAAGAACGCCAGCTGCAATGCAGTTTCCACCACGTCAGCGCCAACGCTCTCCTTGGCAGCCGTCCATGAAAACGGTTGGACAAGGTCCAGCAGTTCACGAGAGGGAACAAAACAGGTTCCAGGTTTTTGCCTTCCTATTTCAAATCTTTGTTGGAGACACTTGTAAGATATTAACGTCCACCCAGAATTGTTCCCAAAGGTCCAACTGCTTGGTCCCAGCATCAGTGGAAAACTCAATCATTCTCATCAACTCGCCCTGAGACGAGTTGAAACCAGTTCGCAGCACAAAGCATATAATGCCTCAGATTATCTCAGATTCACTCAGCCAAAGTACAAGATCTTACTGCAGTTCATCTGGACATCTGCCCAGCCCCCAACTACGATTCGATGGAACTTGCACGTATCATGTGCGTTGAATCAAATGGTTTCATCATGTGTCATCATGTTTCGCAATCACGTAGTTTCAAGCCAACACCTCCCTTCATTACATTCCTCAGAGCTGGCTACTGTACCATACTGTAACCATCCAGCCATCCTCATCGATCAACCTGTGGAAAATCCATGGGCATTTGGTTTTCCAGTTTGTGCCCATACACAAATATATATATATATACATAATATATATATATATATATATCTCTCTCTCTCTCAAACATCATTTAATTTATTTAATTCAATTTAATTTAGTCCATACGACAGTTAAAAATCCAACATAGTCCCTAGCTTTTCCCAGCACTTCCTTTGTTTCTTGTGAATCCTGTGATGTCCTTCAACATCAATACCGAGTCCTTGGGCCATCTTGGGCCATTGGATCTTCCAGATGGCCCCACCTCTGCCAGGGGACCATCATCCGGCGGACTCTTGGGATCCGCCAAGTTGTTGGTCTTCTTGGGCCGCTCCGGTGCCGTGGTCTGAATCAACGATGTGCCGCTGAAGAGGCTGTGGATCCTGCCGGGCTCTACCAATATACTTGGAACACCTTAAAAAACCACGCTGCCCACAAAAACTTCATGGCAAAGATATGAAAAAAGATTGGTATTGGTACAAAGTTGCAATACCAAATCCACGCAAAGTCTGGTCCAACCGCCCAAATAATCAGGGCTTGAAGATTACCCACCCGCCTGTGGGTGCCGAAGCAATCCACCAGAATCTCGGGGTCAGAGCCGTGCGCCATGGCATCCTTCATCTGTGGCACGGACTCGCCTATGGACACCAAACTCGCAACGACATGCACCAAACATGTGCATCATATGCTTCACAGCCCTTTTTTTTCCTCCAAATGCCTCCTGATCTGGAGTTAGACCTCCAAAATTCGCCAATATCACCTTCTTAGGAGGCCCAAGAGCATGAGTCATTCACTTGTGAAGCGCCTGTCAGGGTGGCCTCATTCACAATGGCACTGCCGTCGATGATGAGGCAATCGCATGGCACTAAAGTCTCCTGGCCATCAGTGATCATCCAACTGGGCCAAATCCCTTGCTCGACCGCCCAAACTCGGCTATGGTCCGTTTGTTGTTTGGCGCAGAAATAGTGCAGACATGTGCAGACTGATTCTGGATACATGTTGTGTCATGTTGTAAGGCATGTAATACTGTACATCAAAGCCCGATGGGAACCCTAGTTGGCTTTGCCCGCAACAATGAGGAGGTCTACAACCAAATTCCATTAAAGTCCAAACTTAACCCGCTGCAAGCAAGCATTCCAAAGAAGCGGGTTGTAGCGAGGGCCACTTTATAGCCGATGCTACCTGCTATCAGTTGCCATCATTCTACTACCGTGTCATGGAGCGAGTTGCCCACCTTCTTCTCAGGTGGCTTTTCGCCATCTGCAAGCGGCGCGACCTGCTTCTGTTCCTCTGCCCTGCAACGGTTTCATGCTGTAGGTCAGCAGTCAGTTCAATGCTCGGAACATGGTACAACAGTTCCCTTGCATGTGTGTCGTACAAGAGTGCAGAGTGACTGCATCACTTTTCTGTCAAACCATGCCAAACCATGCCAAACCCAGCTAATCCAATGCATTTCCGCGAAACATGACCAAACACGCGCAACCGCGCAACTAAACACTCTCAAAAGCTACAGAAAACACATACACATCAATAGTCATCAGAATTAATCAGAAGACTGAGCCACATTAACCCACCATCCACCACCATCCAGCATCCTAGCATCCAACACAAATCTGGAAGCTCGAGTCAGGGCACTTGGTGTGCAAGGAGATGAGATCCCCAGGCAGCAATTCTTCGATGGGCCGATCTTCCCACTTCCCACATCGGTAAACAAAGACCTACGCACCAGGCCCGGCCATAGCAAGTGACCTACTGGATATCTTAAAAGTGTGCGTAAATTGTTGACTGGCATAAAGTGAAATGAGAAGAAGTGAAATGAAAAGAATATAGAATAATCATAATGATGCTACTGATATCTACTGATCAGAATGAACATTGCTGACAAATGAACATTATCAGTTATCAAAGTTATCATCGAATGATCTGCGATACTGGCGATGCGCCAAGTGCACTTTGCATTGTCTTTGCTTCTGACAAACACTCAGTGTTTCATGTGCTGAGGCTGCAACATTGAAGCCTGGGCGCTGGTTAAACAAAACCCGCCAAACAGGGTTCCAAAAGCCTCAACACTCAGCACTTGATGATCTTTATATATCTTTATGTTTGCCATTGTTTGCCATCGTTTGCCCCCATGAGGAAACAAACACCAGTTACACCAGTTTTGATTCATGCACATGCATACTCTTGGTGCCTTTACCTGAGAAAGGTGATAAGTGATAACTTGTCGCAGCGGTTGGTCAAGTTTTTCGGTGCATATGTATAAGTGGGTACATACCCAATGGATAGAAGACATTTGCTGAAACTTTCAAAAGCTGTCCCCAAAGAATTCAGAGATATAATTTCGTGGTTAAAATACGGTCACCCCACAGAAACAAATAGAAGCATCCATTGACGATCTGTTTGACCTGTAAGTAAGGGTCTCCAAAGTCTCCAATATGAATACTTGTCCAATTCAGTCTCTGTCTCTCACCCGCATTCTCGCTGTCTCTCTCTCTCTCTCTCTCTCCCTTCACCTCATGCACTGGTCAATGTAAAGCTACAACTACCGAACAAGTGTTGAAATTCAATACGCACCGTCAAATTTATTGACTATCATGTGGTTTGGAAACTCTTAGTGGCTGCTCATTTAATGGGGAATGTATGGATACCCGTAGCTCCTTGGCTCCCTCGAACGGCGAAAGCTCCAAGTCCAATATCACTGGTAAGTCTTTCAGAATCTTTCAGAGATTCAGAACCTGTTCAAACCACAATTAGTATCCAATCACTATTATATAAACTATAAACATGTCAACATGATCAATGCGCTTTGAAGTTCGCCCTTCTCAAACTCAATGTGAGCACCACCAGCGACCCCGCAACGAGATTCCCATGGAGGCAAGCAGCTCTTGGTGCTCATGCCGCGCAAGGTCGCCATGGATTTCAGGCGCTGAAACACCGTGGAAGCTTCGAACATCAGGATGGTTCCCAAGGTGAGGCAGGTATATCTCCTGTCGCAGTGGAGTAATAAACAATCATAAATAATCATAAATAATCATAAATAATCATAAATAATCATAAATAAATGAATCAAAATCCTGTACGAAATAGAAGCAGGAAAAGGAAAGATTGGAGCTGGAGATCTCAGCACCATTAAGATCATTAAGTGGTAGAATTGCAAACCATGGGTATAATTCGGTATAATTATGTCTATTTCTCTTGCATCACATCTCAACTTAATCAGTTGCTCACTATGGATGTGATCCATGTGACCCATGTGACCCATCCACATCCCATCTCCAGAAGGTGTCCATGACCCAAAGGGCAGCTGAGAAAAGCTGAAAAATCACTAAGGGTGAGATCAGCTGCTTCTGGTAAAGCCTCAGCACCATGGGTCATCTATGGTCGTCTTGTCAGAGCCATTCAGCTACCAGAAACTCACAAAAACTGAAAAACTCCACAATTTAGCAAGCTTTTGAAACATTTTGAAACCTGGTCGAGACAGTATTATATAATATTATCATACCTCGGAATTTCTGAAGTATGATATGGGCCTCGCTTGAAGCTTTTCACATCTCAATCAAGAATAATCAAGACATGTCACTGCATGAAGGTTGGCTTCGGCAAATCGAAAATGTTCGAACCGTACTTGTCCTGACAAGCAAGGGTTTCATCCATTTTTCAGTTGATGAACCTCTCACCATCGCTCACTTAGATTTTGGGTTTGGATCTCAGGTCAATCGCAACAGGGATCTGTCAGCCAACTTGGACAGAAGTGAGCCTGGGTCCAGAGCTACCTCAGAAGGCTCAAAGTATATAATTATTGAGGAAACCGATGGAAACCGCATGTTTCTTACCGCAAAATGTCAAACACCAAATCACCACGTCACAATGGCTCTGGGTCAAAAACTCTGGGAACCTGCACAACTAAAAACTATTAAAAACTCAGAGTTTTCATGCCCGATCAATTTGATCACCATTTTATGTTTTCTGTCTGCTTTTTGTCACCTCAAAATGAGGGAATGACTTGGCAGCGCCGATCCCGATCCTGTGCCAACTCCACCTGGCCCGACGTGGCAAGTCCTGCCAGGAATCCCATCGGTGAATTATCTTACACACATAAATATACACAAATATATACATATGTTATACAATTATACATGCATGTGACTATGTATATATATTTATATGTATATTAATATATTATGTATATATATATAAAGTTTATAATTGCGTGTGACTATGTGACATGTGTGTAATCAAAAAAAGCTTGAATTAGACAATTCAGCAGGTTTCTGTCGCCCAATTTTCGCACTCTGCCCATCCGTGTCCGTCCTTTGGAGTCCCGATAGCTGCGCCAAGGTTGATTGGTTGGGCACTGGATCAGACGGATGCCTGGCGCTGCAGCAAACATGTCCCTCATGTTTTGGGGGGAGATGGGGGGACCTCAGATGGGACTGCAAAACAGGATTGATACAGCTGTAATCAGCTAAAAAAAACCAGCTGTACCGTATAATTATTCTATACATGTCTATAATTACCTGGTGTTATACTCTAATATGGTTGTTGGCCGTTAAATATCTCTATTGGCCACCGCCCTTTGCAGCTCCCGGTTGTCTGCACTGTCTGCACTGCACCCAACTATTGGCCACCTGGAGTCTCCACGTCCTGGGTCAATGGCTGACACCACTGGTGTGGTCATCTGTCGCTTGTAACTCCTGGCTACACACCTTCCAACTCAACTGTTGCTTGGTGATTAATGGTGATTATGGTGATTAACCCATAATAACCAATATATAACCAATATATAATCAATCTACATAGTGTTGCTCTTTCCCTGCTGTTCCCCAACATTTTTGGTTGCGGAACAATAAACCCTCCATGCAACAGATAAATCATGCTCTCGGCCGCAAGTGCCAGGACACACCAAGAAGATCTGGATCTTCTGTTCCAGCTTCTACGAACTCGAAGTTCTGATACCTCATCGTCGTGAATGAAAAGGGAATCTTTGGCACGTCGTGACAGGGTCTATCATATATGCATTAGGCACGCATTAGGCCTAGTGAAGCCCACGAAAAATTTCAAGATTCTATCCCAGTGGCATTGCGCTCCCATCATTCCCATCCCAACCGAAAAAGTATCATTCAGCCCTTACAATAATCCACCTGGAGAAAGATGATGAAGGACCAGCTGTTGAAAACATCAAGGTCTGAATTTGGCAACCCATTCCGGCTGTCCCATTGCGTGACATGCCACTGAAACTTGAAGTGACAATTCAAAGTCACCTGGCGGCTGCACTATACACAACTGCTGTTGCAGTACATGTGCACATGACACGTTAAGGGGAGCCATAAACATACCGTTCAATATCTCGGAGAAATAAGGTGTATACCTCTTATGTTGCTGCGCTATGTTGCGCTTTTCCACATTCTACAGTACCTCTTGGGGTAACCTGACAATGGGGCGTTCAACAGAATGCTTGCAATTGATCCTCGAACAGTATAACTTTGTCATGCCTTGTCAGTATCCTCCCGCTTAAGAGGGAAGCCATTGCAACAAATGGCCGGATTTTTATGAATTCTTCCCAGAAGTATACCATGGATCTTATCATGACATCATACTGATATCAGCATCACCACTGCACTGGCCACAGCAACGTGCCTCAGACTCGTGAACTAAGCAAATGTCGGCCTTGCCCTTGTTAGCATGCGGTGTCACCCGCACAAAACCTTACGGGGAGTGCAGCATCAGCCAAGACCAAGGGCCGCTATCTACTTAAAACGTGCAAAACAGGGACAAACATGCTTATGGTGAGACGTGACATTGAGCCAAACGTTAATCATTCTCCCAACTCAAAGCAGAGAAAAAAACACACACGCTGGAGTCCGCAGAAGCATACGTCTGGATACTCCCCGCTAGCATCATTACCCACCTTCTATGGCATCTATGGCTGCCATAGCCGAGGTGCTGCCAGGATGTACTCGACGCGCTGGCTGGAAAAGGAACAAAGCTCTGAAAGCAACGGACCAAACCTCAGGTCACAGCGAGGCAGGAAAGAACGATTAGCCAATGTGACTGATTGAATGTGCTAATATTCATGGGCTGAATGGCAAGGGATCATCGTTGTACTAATATTGATCCTTGTCATACCAGTAAACTTCCCTCAAATCAAACCACCATCCACATCAATCCACATATAGCCACATCATTCCAGTTATTTGAACCTCGTCTTTTCTCTTCACTGGGCAAACGCTCAAAATCTGCAGTCCGGCAACGCACATCAGGTGAAACAGCACATGCACCTCAGCACATCGGTCGCCATATGTCGCCATGTTCCGTTTCGATCGGGTCACGACTCGATTCAACGATGGCCGGAGTCACTTGAACTGGTCACCGGAGTACACTCATAAACAGGGGAACAATGGGGAACATGCTGCAGCATGGTAAGGCGCTGCATTTTTTTTGGCAGTTTCAAGATGTTGAATGATGGCTATAATATTCATAATTTATCATATATAATTTCATAGTAGCACAATCTGGGCACATTCTAGCTGTGAATAGAACACAATCAAGGGATCACGTGGTCTTTGCAGCCCAGGTGCCACAATGTTCCTCAATACGGCCAGCAGACCGGTGGTGGACTATCTCAAGCAACAAAGGCATGGCCGCAATCAAACGAATTCAAACGCAAAACAAGAGTAAACAAGATCAAACAAGGAAGTGAAAACAAGGATACCAAATGGACGTGATGGCTTTGCCAGGAAAGGAATCTGCCATATTCTGTTACAATATCGACAATCTGTGTAGACCTTGTGAAAGGTGCAAAGAATGATAAAGAATGATTTCAAACTCAGCTGCTACAAGCACCTTAGATATGGCTGGACCTGACAGCCCCCCTATTCCCATTCGCAAGATGGGCCAAGATGCAGGAAAATGAAGACACAGGCGAAAGCTCCCGGCATGTACTGAGATGGTAGCGACTCCTGGTGAGGCCAGTCACCGGAATCAAAGGGCCTTTTTTTTTGGCGCCCTGAGAATGCATCCCACCTTTGATGAATCCAAAATAATGATAGCTGATGATAGCTGATCAATCATGGAGAACGGTAAAATACGATACATACTGAAGGACTGAAGGACAACTTAGATGGAGAGGTGCCTCTGATGCTGATGTTACTTTGCCAAAGCTTTTGCACGGAACAGGTCCTCATCCAACTCCAACTCCGTCTCCTCTCTTGGCAAGGGCTGGAATTGTGAAGATCAACCAGCCATCAGCCATTGAGAAAAATACACGATCTCCCAAGTCATCCAACAAAAATTTTTCAGGTGATGTCTGGAAGCCCCAAATAGGGCCATAGGGATCAACAATTGGCATCTGGCAACCTTCACAGCCAGGGGTTTGTGGGGGGTTGTAGCAGCTGCTTTGCTTGTCGCTTTCCAAGCCACCCTTGACGTTGGGCCCCTGCTAGAAGCACCAGCACACACATGTCACTTCATGTCGGCTGTGTGCAGCAAACCCCGATGAAAGGAGAGCCAAGTCCAGCCACTAAGCTTTATGGATGCCTCGACTAAGTGTATTGAAAACGCAACAGTTGACATTCCGAATAACATCCTTCTGCCTCTGGTTGTTTCAATTTGTGGATCCCCAAATATCACGCCATTGCGGATCATCATCCCAAATCGGGCCAAAGCACGGATGGAATATTATGAATTCAAAGAATATCTCTTTATCCTTCTATTTTCTCTAATATCTCTTTATTCTTCTATTACTACTCCTCAAGCATTCCTACTACTGCTACTAGTGGTAGTACTGAGAGCATCCGCAGCTCAGCACTTTTTCACCAACTCAGCATTCTCCACTGAAGCTGACGATGCTGAGGGTGAAACGACCGCCCTGGGGCTCACAAGGTCCCAGCGGCCCCGACTTCAAAACATGTCCGGAGCTGATCGGATAACATCTGACAAGTATCGAACATCATATGTTGGACGGAAAATTCTCCACTGCTGTTTTTCAAACGCCAACCATATCCAACCATTTGCAAATTCGTTGAGGTTGAAAGCCACTTGAGAGGTGATTGTCTAAGGTCAAAATAGGTCAAGGTGAAAAAGAAAAATATTGGGAAACAGTAAGGGCATGCAGGTCTTTCAGACTAGCAACAGTTTAGGAATCAAATCAGAATTTATCATGAGGCCAAAGTCTGACAGCCAGTGATGAGAGCGGGGATTGCAGGGGAACGCAACGCAGCAGCACTCCAGTAGCCCGGACTTCTTCATACAACTGCTCTTCATACGACAGCTCTGGGAATGTCTGACGTTTGTCAATTCTTCACTAAGCCCTTCATGCTGCGAATGAAGGTGTTGGCGTGCATCACAGTTCCTCAAGGCACGCCATGGGGAAGAGTTCAATTCGGAATCGACAACTGCAACTCTGGATCTGCTTATCATCTTTGGTACTCTACTACAAGATGATGCCATGTTGACACTGAAATACACTGATTTCAATTCTATCGAGGCGGCTTTCTGATCTCGAAATGGCCGACTGGATCCCAGTTCCCACTTGGAAAGATCCTATCTAATTGGTGTCCCGAAGGACAATTGGGGGGGGCCTGGAAAAATTTAAATGACCTCAGCTCAAGCATGTTATTTCATCCCATAACTCTACCATCTGTGACCTGATCATGGCATTGCCCCGAATTTCTTGTTGCTGTCTGATATCCTTCAAATACAAACCTTGGGAAATGAAATTGAGATAATTAAATATAAACATGTATTCCAGAGAACTTCTAAATCGAAGAAATCTAATTGAATTGAATAATTCCCAACCCTGCTTCAAGGCCATTCCTTGATGCTTCCCTCATCTGGTTGTTCCTTGAAATTGCGCCACCCCACCATTTTTCACCCTTTCACCACTGGTTTTCCTAATGGTTTCAGCACCATTTTTGGCTGATAACTCCCCTGGCTGAAAACCCCATTTGGACCATCTCCGAGCTTCGCATGTTGTCCCTGGCCATTCGCAGGTCCACCTGGATCTTCGGCTCTTCGGGCTCCAGTGGGTCCTACGCCAGGACCGACATGGGGATGTCAAGCAACCAATGCATCGTGTGATACTGTCCGTAATGAATAGGAATAGTATTACAATAAGATGTTAATATAATCATCAGACAAATGCCCATTAACCCATAGCAATTTTAAAAGTAATCATGATCCTGACGTTACATGATGATAGCAATAATCCCCTGTCCTGCCATGGAGTATGGATCAAAACCATTCAAAACCCTTCTGTTCTCATCCCAGTAGATAAAAAAAAACAAACATGAACAGACTATAATGAGGAATTGGAATATCGATGGGATTTGAACATCTGCCCAGTTTGGGGTGTTTTCTTGACCCATAGAAGGATGGGAATGTGAATCCAATCAATTCAACCAGTCCAATGATCCCATTCAGCTACATGCTAAAACACCAATAATGATAACATTGTTTTCTACGTGACCTTTCCCCAAAACGGGGGATATCAACCCATCGCAAACGGAAGAGAAATGACTTCAACTTGACTTGGGACAGCTGTGAATCCAAACCCTATGGTGAACTGCAGAGGGAAAATGGGATCCATAACATAATTTTCGAGGTTACATCATCCTATATGCGGCAAGCCAAACATAGATCGCTACAGGAAGTTAAAAAGTTTGAAATTATCCTAATGTATATATACATATTTGGACAATTAGGTTAGGTGGTTCCGACAAAAACATTAGAGAAAACATAGTCGGATTGCAACCAACATCCAACATCCAACAAGAAAACTAGTTATTTGTACTTCAATATCCAAATAAGCGTCCAATTGCGGTTGGTTATATAATTACCAGTAGTACCGCGCAAGGCGGTGACGGAAGTTATTCAAAAATAGGAAACCTATAGGAGAGGTTGGTTGTTGTGAATCAGGGATGGCAGAGCGAAGCCACTGATGGACCGAAAGGTGCTTGAGGTCTCCTCTCTTTCGCTCTCTTTCTCTGACTATCTATCTACCTACCTACCTACCTGCCTACCTACCTATCTATCTATCTATCTCTCTCTCTCTTTCATCTGTCTAGCTGTCTACCTGTCTATCTGTCTATCTATCAATCTATCTATCTATCTATCTATCCATCCATCTATCTGTCTAGCTGTCTGTCTATCTATCTATCTATCTATCTATCTAATCTATCTCTGTCTATCTATCTCTCTCTCTCTCTCTCTCTCTCGCTTTCATCTGTCTATCTGTCTAGCTGTCTACCTGTCTATCTGTCTATCTATCTATCTGTCTATCTGTCTACCTGTCTATCTGTGGTGCAGCGTCATTCAGTGTAATGTGTAGTGTAGTGTAATGTAGTGTAGTGTAGTGGACTGTAGTGGAATGTAGTGGAGTGTAGTGTAATGTAGTGTAGTGTAGTGTAATTTAGTGTAGTGGAGTGTAGTGGAGTGTAGTGGAGTGTAGTTGTGTAGGTGTGTAGTTGTGTAGTTGTGTAGTTGTAGTTGTAGTGTTGTGGGGTGTAATGTAGTGTAGTGGAGTGTAGCGTAGTGTAATGTAGTGAAGTGTAGTGGAAGGTAGCGTAGTGTAGTGTAATGTAATGTAGTGTAATGTAGTGTGTGTAGAGTTGTAGTTGTTGTTGTAGCTGTAGTGTAGTGGAGTGTAGTGTAGTGAAATGTAGTGAAGTGTAGTGGAAGGTAGTGTAGTGTAGTGTAGTGTAATGTAGTGTAGTGTAGTGTAGTGTAGTGTAGTGTAATGTAGTGGAGTGTAGTGTAGTGTAGTGTAATGTAGTGTAGTGGAGTGTAGTGGAGCGTAGTGGAGTGTAGTGGAGTGTAGTGGAGTGTAGTGGAGTGTAGTGGAGTGTAGTGGAGTGTAGTGGAGTGTAGTTGTGTAGTTGTGTAGTTGTAGTTGTAGTTGTAGTGTTGTGGAGTGTAGTGTAGTGTAATGTAGTGTAGCGTAATGGAGTGTAGTGTAGTGTAGTGTAATGTAGTGTAGTGAAGGGAAGCGAAGCGACATCTGAACCTCCAAAAGTTGTCCGAACCCCTAGTTTTTTTTTTTAACGTTTTGACTTCGAAATGTGCTTCGCGCCACAACGGCGTGCACGTTTTCCACATCGGAACTTCCGAAAGTGGTCCGTACATGGTGTGTTTTGTACATTTTCACTACGAAATGTGCTTCGCGCCACAACGGCGCGCACTTTTCCCACATCGCAACTTCCAAAAGTGGTCCGAAGCTGTTGTGCTTTGTACATTTTGACTTGGAAATGTGCTTCGCGTCACAACGGCGTGCACTTTTTCGATATCTCAACTTCCAAAAGTGGTCCGACACTGGTGTGTTTTGTACATTTTGACTTGGAAATGTGCTTCGCGCCACAACGGCGTGCAATTTTTCATCTCTCATCTGGCCAGCTGGCTCCGCACCCGCCGCTTTAGCGAGCCTACTTTTCGACCCTCCGGAGCCCCAAATCATTGGAAAAACACAGTGTTTCGCGACTTTCCTACCTTTTCGCGCATCTGCATCTTCTTTCTTCTGACTCTTTCTCTTCTACTCTTCTCTCTTCTAATCTTTCTCTTCTCTCTGCCTCTGCCCTGCTCTGCTTTTCATCTGTCCATATTGTCGGAAGTTTGACTTCTAAACTTCCTTCGGCTATATATATTTTTATATATGCCTGTATGACGTCTTTTATTATGATTTACTATATAATTTTATCTTGTTGCTACTATCTCATTACTAAATGATTATTGCTGATCCCGAGCCCTAGAGCCTCCACCCTCTGTGGGCTCACTTCGGAGTGTGGCACATGCACCGTGCGCAATTCCGCACGCAGTCGCTGAAGCTCCTCAGCTGCGAAATGTTGGAACTGATCCAGTTCCTGGGTGTCCAAAAATGGTTTGAAGGAATAATGGATAAATATATACAGTAGTACTAGTGTATAGATGTGCATGGAATATAGATGTGCGCACGTGCTTATATACATATATATTTATGTATATTTATGATTATTATTTATGTGTATATATAATTATATATATATGTGTGTGTAACGTCTGAAGGGACGTAAAACCTCTAATCCCAGATTTTTGGGTATTGCAGGGGGCACAGGCCCATTGTGGATACCTGTGCCAACGAAGCTATTCCACAATGGGGGAAGCGGAGATTGATCACCTCCGTGTACCTGCACTTTTCGACTTTCATGGCAAGGGGCCAAGCCGAGAACCCCAACCACAAAGATTTTATTTCTACACGGTTGCCACAATCCGGTCTTCATTACAATTATTCCCCATCTGCCAGGTGAGGGTTGTTAGATTTTATCAGAGCTGTTCTTCTCCTCCTCGCTAGCTGTCCTCCACTGCCTCCTCCTCCTCCGCCTTCTCCTCGTCCTCCTCCTCCTCCTTCTCCTCCTCCGCCTCCTCCTCCAGTTTCTCCTCCACCACCTCTGCCTCCACTTCCATGTCCACTTCCTGCCGCCTTGCCAACTCTTTTCCAAGCTCTTTGCCAACTTCCCAGCTCAGTGTGCACCGCTGGACCTCAACCTGCGAGCTGCCCAGCTCAGTGTGCACTGCTGGACCTCAACCTGGGAGCTGCCCAGCTCAGTGTGCACCGCTGGACCTCAACCTGGGAGCTGCCCAGCTCAGTGTGCACCGCTGGACCTCAACCGGGGACCTGCCCAGCTCAGTGTGCACCGCTGGACCTCAGCCGGGGACCTGCCCAGCTCAGTGTGCACCGGTGGACCTCAACCGGGGACCTGCCGAGCTCAGTGTGCACCGCTGGACCTCAACCTGGGACCTGCCCAGCTCAGTGTGCACCGCTGGACCTCAACGGCCAGATAGAATGCCAGAAGATATGCCAGATGGAATGTGAGATAGGATGCCAGAAGATATGCCAGAAGATATGCCAGATAGAATGCCAGATAGAATGCCAGAAGATATGCCAGATAGAATGCCAGATAGAATGCCAGAAGATATGCCAGATAGAATGCCAGATAGAATGCCAGAAGATATGCCAGATAAAATGTCCGATAGAATGCCAAAAGATATGCCAGATAAAGTGCCAGAATGTTTGCCAGATAGAATGCCAGAAGATTTGCCAGATAATATGCCAGAAGATATGCCAGATAAATAGAATGCCGGATAGAATGCCGGAAGATATGCCAGAACATATGCCAGAAGATATGCCAGGTAGAATGCCAGAAGATATGCCAGGTAGAATGCCAGAAGATATGCCAGATAGAATGCCAGAAGGTATGCCAGATAGAATGCCAGATAAAATTTCAGATAGAATGCCAGAAGATTTGCCAGTAACAAAATGTATAAATGGCATGTTGGGGATCACACGAAGTAAAGTAATTTTATTTCGCTGACATGGCAAAGGGCTAAGCCGAGAACCCTTACATCATAGATTTCACGCGGCTACTAGTTTTGGGATCTACTTGAACCTGTTTCTGGTCGTGATTGTCTGTATCGGAATAACATATCATTATTCGGATTTTACCTCGAGGAGATCTACTTTAGGTCATTGTTTCTAATCCAATTGCATGTGAGGGGATTCAGTTCCCAACGGATCACTTCAATGATCCATTTCTTGTCTAGTGTGTGCAAATATGTTTGCATACATATGTTCATATATGCTGATTTTTGAAATCTATTGCATACTATTGCATAAGCGCAAAAATACAAGTGCATGAAAGACCTGAGTTTGTGCGTCTCAACTTTTGAGTATCAACTTTGCTGTTCAAAACTGCCAAGTTTCTGCTGCCATATCATCGCGTTCCAGGGCCAGGTGATGCTCTCGCGCGGCACTTTCTTGTTGTAACCTCAAAGTGCAGAAGTGCAGTACGGCTTTGAGGTTTGCAGGTTGGGCTATAGCAATCATTCAGTATTTGTTTGTGGGGGTGAAAGGCCCAACAACAACTGACTGGTTGTGAACCTAATGGCATGTATTGTATGAATCCACGTCTAAAATTGTCTGCATGCGTGCGAACATTATAATAAGATGCAACAACCGAAATGAAATGAACCAACCCTGCGGACACAATGCACATGTGCGCGTTTAAGGTGTCTCCCTCCAATGGCGCAGGAAAAAGGACAATTTCAAAAACAACAACAGGCTGAAGGAGGGGCCAAAAACACATACAGTACAATGGCTGGTTGGAGAAACATGAAGAGATTTCAGCCTCTTCACCAAAATATGTGTGTATTGGAAGATTGCACATCTCCAAAGGTGCAGCCACCGCCAAGTAGCCGAAGGAACCTGAGCATCTGTCCCCCGCAAGCTCGACCAAGGCTGATCCGTTAAATCAAATGCAACCCAACACATGTCGTCCAAATCTCTCTTGAACTTTGTAAAACGTGCCCAGTGTTTGGCTCCTCTTGACGTCAAATAGCCAATTTTTGTATATGTATGCTGTATGCTGTATGTGGGCATGTATGTGTGAATATGCATGTAAGTGAATATGCATGTACTGTACACACATATATTCTACAGGTTCATAATGATCATAGCGTTTAAAAGCCCAAAAAGAAGCAAACATACGCAAACCGCAAACCTTACCCACCAAGTAATCAGAATATATCAGAATAATACCAGCTAAATTGGATGCACTTTTGGCCAAGGAGCTGATCACTTAGTTCCTGCAGTTGTTGTTCTTGGCTTTCCAACACCTCGCGCATTTCATCGCGTTCCTTGCTGATGTCCCGCACCTCACGAGAGAACCGCAGAGAATGGGGAGATGTTCCATGGCAGCAAGATGCAAACGGATGATTCCATGGTATGTATGGATGGTCGGATAAATAGATCCATTCTATCAGTCAATCATATCAGATCCATCAATCAATCTATCTATCTATCCACCAACCAATCAACCAACCAACCAACCAAGCAACCAATCAAACATATCATCATATCTATCAATCTATCTATCTGCGTGTCTGTGAACTATCTACAACATCAAGTGGAACTTTGGCTCTGGTTGGCCTGAAGTTGTCTGCAGTTCCTGCTCATTATGCAACCTTGTGAAGCTGGCCGGTGAAGGCATGACAGGCCCCAAAAACGCCTCCTTTTGCAATTTCGCAATGACTTCTGTCGCGGCTTCTTGATCCCCCTGCGCGAGTTCAATGTACGTATGTCATATATCATATATCATATATCATCATATATCATATAACAAATACATTTATAATCAATTAATTCATATTTGTTGGTGTGCCTGCAGCTGATCCACATGAGACAGTCGTTGTGGTGAGGAACATGGATGTCCCTATAGTACGGTTCAAACAGAACATCCATCTCAGCTAGCCATGCATTCATGCACGTATGGGGGCCTGTATAGGTCTAGCATACCCAATGCCCAAATAGGGATGCTCAATGATAGTCGATACTCAAATACTCCAACTAACCCAGATGTGTGCTTCTTCGGTTCTTGAATACTTGCCAATGCCCATAGCCGACACGAAGGCATGTGAATCAATTTTATGTAAAGGATGGAAAGAATATCTTTGCTGATCAGCATGCAAATTAAGAAAGCAAAGGAGAAGTCATAATAATTATATGATCATTATATAATATACATAATATATATATATAACATTCATATATAGAAATAACATTCATATATGTAATAGGTTGTTCTTTGCTTAACAGCTGGCCCCCACAGCGCCATATCGCATCGTATCGCCTCGGCCGAGTCCTTCAAGGAGCCAGTCGAGTCCCGAGGCCGCCAGGGGCCAGGTGGACCGGGGAAGGCTGACCTGCCAAGCCCGAACCCCATGGGCGTGTCTCAAAAATGATGGAAAGTATGATCTAAATATCTACATAATTATAGATAAATAAATAAATAAATATATATTATATATAATAATAATCAAATAATAAATTACAAAAATAGCTATACATATAATATAATATATACTATATATATATATTAATGCATATTATATAATATATATATAATTATATATATTCAATAAAATTGTATCTCACTGCATTTCTGGCAATTTAATGGGGAAAATTACGATGATGCAGTTGGTTTAGGTACCGGTGGTATAGCATGGTCATGGTAATTAGATGTAATTAGGTTGGCCAGGTTCCATTGAAAACAGTCTGGAAATGTCTGGAAGAGATGTAGACCTGAGTATTTCTAAAGCTGAGTGTTTCTATAGCTCTTTGATGCAGTTTGACCTGAATCTGAGCCGATCCATTTATTGGAAGCTCAAAACCACAAAAAAAGTCAAAAAATCATCACCCATCCGATCCATCCAAGATCCCCATTCCGTAAGCATCGCATTCACAGTCACAAGGATGGTGCCAAGTGGCGGGTTCTGCGCCCTTTCCAATGCTTGGATCCAGCAGCGCAGTTCGTAGCTCATCGGTGGCAAGGGCGGAAGAAGGTGAGGCGCAGGAGGGGCCCATCTGCCCAGGGGATAGACACCCAGGTGCCCAGGTGCGATATATGATCTGGGGGGGTTGATGGGGATTCGGATATACTCTATATATTCAAAAAAAAACACCTGGCAGATTTAAGTCATTTTTTTAAGATGGTGTTCATCCCCCAACAATAATCATCATGTGTGGTGAAGCTGCTTGCAGTTGCTATAATTCAGTGACCATCATTGACCTCCTAAGCGATCCATAGCTGCGGCCTAGCTGACACGGACACCTTCTTTTTTAAAGGACCGTTCTGAGGTATGATAGACCCCACAATCAATAGAATCAATAGACGATAAAATCGCCATGGCTGGTTAAATCCGAATTTCATCCAATTTCTCCATAGCATGATCCTTGGGTGAGAGCACAGGTGCAGCATGAGACCTGGGACTGGTTCCACGCGCCGGCCCATTGGCAGCGAGAGGTCGGTGCCCATTGGCAGCGAGAGGTCGGTGCCCACTGGCACCACGTCTCAGTGAGTCTCCGACAGTTGAAGCAGTGTCAAGAAAAATGCCTTGGTGGCAACTGGCAACATGGGTTCTAGGATAACCATGGATAACCCCAATACCAGTACTCTTTCCCCCCATCTCTCTCTCTCTCTCTCTCTTGAGAGCTTTATTTTCCGTGTTAACGTGGCAATTTTGAGGAAACCATATGCGTGGCAATGGCGTTTGGGGAAGGTTCCAGATTCTACCGGATTTGATTTACACACATGGCTGCAATTGGATCGATCAACGTGACTGGTCAAGCAGGGCTATGGAAAACACTCAGGTCTGAAACCTCAAGCAGCGACAGCTACCATAGTGATCAAACTTGCATTTTTCTGGGCCTGGCCCTCCAAAATCATAGCCCAACCAGGTATATGATCCTTGTGTGGTACTTGGTTCTTTTGGAGTCACACCAGGCAAACCCCGTCATCCGGACTCATCCGGCATGAAGCACCGTCCTCCTAATCCTCTTAAAATCCACCAGCAAATGACCAATGTTTCCCCTTGATCTTGGGACGCACCCGAGGTTTTTGCTTGGACTTCATTGGTCATAGCCAGGGCCAGCTGCTCTCTTCCTCTCGTGGCTTGGCGGTGGCACCAGTGGCACCAGTGGCACCTGTGGCACCTGTGGCACCTGTGGCACTGGAGAGGCTCAAGATCTCGTCCTGCGCCATTGATCACATTGGAATCTTCATGGCATATCTTACCTACATGCCTGGCACAAAATTACAAGAGCACGTGTGGGTATCTTGAGTATGAGTGAATGCCAAGAGACATGTGGATGGAAACAACACTTCACACAGTGCACATATTTAAATATTATATATATATGTCTGTGTGTATTCTTATTATATGAAAATATGCGTATAATAAATGGAATTGTATTTGTATATTACTGTGCATATAAATATGTATATATATATATATATTAGCGTGCAATTACTATGTTCATTCTTATCCAACCCTATGTATATATGTATGTATTACAAAAATAAATTAGACAATAATAATATCACGAATATAATTAACGTATATATATATAGTCATATCTATATCTATTAAAATATACATATGTATGCATACGTATATATATATACAGGGAAGCGACAATGCCACGCCTAAGTCATGCCTAGCATGTTTTTGAATGGCATTTACCATTGTAAACGCTGTATCCAAGAAGTCATGCCTAAGTCATGCCTAAATGCTTTTCTGCATGGAACGCTGTCCTCAATAAAAGTGTAACCATGCATTTTAGACATGAAAAAACAATGAAACACAATGGAACGCGATTGATGAAAATATTTGTTTTCTACTCTCTTATAATGTAATTCTCGTGTGCAACCTGCATGTCAACGCTGGGATTCTGCATCATTATTTTTTCTATTCTCTGGGTCACTTCCCAGTACTACTTTGTACTACAAAGCTTGCTCAAACTACTTCACAGCACTACTTTGTACTACAAAGCTTGCACAAAGCACATTCCAGTACTACTTTGTACTACAAAGCTTGCACAAAGTACTTCCCAGTACTACTTTGTACTACAAAGCTTGCACAAAGTCCTTCCCAGTACTACTTTGTACTACAAAGCTTGCACAAAGCACTTCCCAGTACTACTTTGTACTACAAAGCTTGCACAAACTACTTCACAGCACTACTTTGTACTACAAAGCTTGCACAAAGGACTTCCCAGTACTACTTTGTACTACAAAGCTTGAACAAAGCACTTCCCAGCACTACTTTGTACTACAAAGCTTGCACAAAGCACGTTCCAGTACTACTTTGTACTACAAAGCTTGCACAAAGCACGTTCCAGCACTACTTTGTACTACAAAGCTTGCACAAAGCACTTCCCAGTACTACTTTGTACTACAAAGCTTGCACAAAGCACTTCCCAGTACTACTTTGTACTACAAAGCTTGCACAAAGCACTTCCCAGTACTACTTTGTACTACAAAGCTTGCACAAAGTACTTCCCAGTACTACTTTGTACTACAAAGCTTGCACAAAGCACTTCCCAGTACTACTTTGTACTACAAAGCTTGCACAAACACTTCCCAGTACTACTTTGTACTACAAAGCTTGCACAAAGCACTTCCCAGTACTACTTTGTACTACAAAGCTTGCACAAAGCACTTCCCAGTACTACTTTGTACTACAAAGCTTGCACAAAGCACTTCCAGTACTACTTTGTACTACAAAGCTTGCACAAATGACTTCCCAGTACTACTTTGTACTACAAAGCTTGCACAAAGCACTTCCCAGTACTACTTTGTACTACAAAGCTTGCACAAAGCACATTCCAGTACTACTTTGTACTACAAAGCTTGCTCAAACTACTTCACAGCACTACTTTGTACTACAAAGCTTGCACAAAGCACATTCCAGTACTACTTTGTACTACAAAGCTTGCACAAAGTACTTCCCAGTACTACTTTGTACTACAAAGCTTGCACAAAGTCCTTCCCAGTACTACTTTGTACTACAAAGCTTGCACAAAGCACTTCCCAGTACTACTTTGTACTACAAAGCTTGCACAAACTACTTCACAGCACTACTTTGTACTACAAAGCTTGCACAAAGACTTCCCAGTACTACTTTGTACTACAAAGCTTGCACAAAGCACTTCCCAGTACTACTTTGTACTACAAAGCTTGCACAAAGGACTTCCCAGTACTACTTTGTACTACAAAGCTTGCACAAAGTCACTTCCCAGTACTACTTTGTACTACAAAGCTTGCAAAAACTACTTCGCAGCACTACTTTGTACTACAAAGCTTGCAAAAAGTCCTTCCAAGTACTACTTTGTACTACAAAGCTTGCACAAAGCACTTCCCAGTACTACTTTGTACTACAAAGCTTGCACGAACTACTTCCCAGCACTACTTTGTACTACAAAGCTTGCACAAAGCACGTTCCAGTACTACTTTGTACTACAAAGCTTGCACAAAGCACTTCCCAGTACTACTTTGTACTACAAAGCTTGCACAAAGCACATTCCCAGTAGTACTTTGTACTCCAAAGCTTGCACAAAGCACTTCCCAGTACTACTTTGTACTACAAAGCTTGCACAAAGCACTTCCCAACACTACTTTTTACTACAAAGTTTGCACGAACTACTTCCCAGTACTACTTTGTACTACAAAGCTTGCACAAAGGACTTCCCAGTACTACTTTGTACTACAAAGCTTGCACAAAGCACTTCCCAGCACTACTTTGTACTACAAAGCTTGCACAAAGTACTTCCCAGTACTACTTTGTACTACAAAGCTTGCACAAAGCACTTGTACTACTTTGTACTACAAAGCTTGCACAAAACTTCCCAGTACTACTTTGTACTACAAAGCTTGCACAAAGGACTTCCCAGTACTACTTTGTACTACAAAGCTTGCACAAAGGACTTCCCAGTACTACTTTGTACTACAAAGCTTGCACAAAGCACTTCCCAGTACTACTTTGTACTACAAAGCTTGCACAAAGCACTTCCCAGTACTACTTTGTACTACAAAGCTTGCACAAACTATTGTTTACTTCCCAGTACTACTTTGTGCTACAAACTGACATGACAACCTGCTTGGAAACCTTCGAAAAGGAGAGGTTTTGCAGCTTCCCCCATAGACACGGAATTAACGACGCGACGACGACGCGACGCCGACCCGACGACGACGCGACGCCGACGACGACGCGACGAGCCACTCGAGGCGAACAAGGGTCCAGACCCCAGACCCCCAGACTATAAACGGGAACCCTTCGCTACGCATTCGGGGAAAAACAGGATAACTGGGATGAACATCCAAAATCATCAAATCACCAGCTCAACGCCATCTTACCTATAACCAATCAACATACCCACAACCTGGAATTCTGCATGCTAATAGTGATCAGCTACGTGATCTCATAAGAAAACGGGTTACATATCCAAACTCCAGAGTTCCTATGCGTTCTTGCTGAAGGCACGACTTTTGCGAAACACACTTCCCCAAGGCACAACGTTTTTTTCCTAAAACAGGCACGACTTTGTCAGATGCCTGTATATATATATATATATATTCATATCTATATCGTCTATATCTATAAGTATATATATAAACATACACACATATGTATATAAATATATATATATATTAATCAACGTAATTCTACGTATATGAAATGGACTGAAATGGAATGCAAATGAGTGCAACCACCTGACTACATGAGAAGTGCTAGTATGAAACTACTATATTCAGCTGCTTACATGGCCGGGTGTCTCCGGGCATGGGGAAAAGTGGTGACTGTTTGTGTTGGGAAACATCAAATAGCTCCTGGCTTCCTCGCAATAAACCAAGGATAGTATGGAAACTCCGTAATTCTTATCGTTCTTAACATTTTTTTGCAAGGGACTTTCCAACAAATATCTTCCATACATCTTTAAGTTCGTTTATCAACAAATATTGGTTTCGTACGCTCCTTCACCGTTCCCCTAAATGTCCCACTCCTTAGGCGACCACGTCAAGGCACTTCCCGGTGCCCGATCGTCTCGCCTTGCCAGCGACTTTGGCAGGCGCTCCTGGGGTCTGAAATGGTCCAATAGCGGTCCTGAGAACGGAACTGCAACAAAACATGCTGGTTTCCACTGGTTTCCATGCACCAAAGACATTTTTTCATGGGGTAGAACATGGTACATAACCCATGAACAAAAGGTGGATAAAGGTGGTATTAATGGGCTGTATATCCTATGTAAAAGGGATACCCCCGACATCCCCTGACATGTGTAGCAGATATATGAATGGGTCAAACATCCCATTCTTGGGATAAATACCCCCAAATCATGGTTAAATCATGTTAAATCCATTTAAATGTCGGCCTATTTCTTATTTGCACCCTCTCTCTCCATATGTTCATCAAATTCTTGGCAGATTTATGATGATTTATGCAGATCTGAGGGGAAAAAAACACTAGGTTTGAAAAACTGCAGGTTGCCTCCTAGGAAATTTGAATGATGACTCATATCTCACCCATGTTCAGCGGTAGAAACTAATGAATAAATTTTCAATTTGCTTGTGCTCCCCTGGGGCCAGCCATTATATAAGAAACTTGTTTTGTGGCTGTTAGTGGGGCTGGATGGCTTACAATGTATGATCCTAAAAAAGTAGCGCTGATCTTCAGCGACTCAAAGGGTTTGAATACAAATTTGGAGAAATCTGCATAGAAATGGAGGTAAAACCAACAACAAACCAGGGACATTGATTTCTGGCTAGGAGCAGTTTTCACGATCCAGCCAACTGGTGGAAAGCATGGCTGTATAGGGATGAAAGCACTGTCTTTCTGGGGTTTTGAAGATCCAGAAGAAAAACAATAATTTAGGATAATTATGGATAATTTAGGTATGTATGGTTCAACCGTTGAAACGCTGTCAACATGATTTGCTTGCAGCGAAACTGGTCCATCATGAAACTGCCTCACAAATGAGGTCTTCTTGACCCTTTGGAGGTTGGTCGGGATGAGTCGGGTGAAGAATCGACCCATCACCATGAATCACATACCCTCTGGTAAACATACAAAAAGCTATTGAAAATGGCCATAGACATAGTGGATTGTCCCATTAAAAATGGTGATTTTCCATAGTTATGTTAGTTTACCAGAGGGTACGGATACCACACTGCCCACCATCCCATACCATCTGATCTCTGCAAGCACGCGTCTGTTGCCCAACGTGGCTGTGGACCCGGACGTGGCAGCTGCGCTCGAAGACACGGTGCCCGGACAAACGCTGAGCGAGATTCGACGCCCAGCGGGGTCCATAGCGAATCACATTGCAGGATTTGCGTTTGTAAGTTTAACCGAGTTTAACCCACTGGTTCCTCCATGTTCCATGATTCGTTTCTTGAACCCTGCGCTTCCCCATTGAGAAAAAAATCAAGCTTACTTCAAGATGTGTGAGAACAAATGCATTATGGGCCTTGGTCTGCTAAATTGTAGAGCTATGAAAAGGAACACACTTTCAGATTTGGTCAGTAGCATGAATGGCAGAGTTGTCATGATTTCATGTTTCTATAATTATATAGGAAGATTCTAGGTGATGCCATACACCTCTCTAGCTCTTCTGATTGAAGGAATAGGCGTTCATGACACACTGAACTTCAGAAGTCCTTCGACACAGGTGCGCCGGGCGCCCGTGAATGATATCTCATGCAAACGTTTCATACGAGTACATAGCAAAAACCCGCCAGCAATGCCTTCATCTCACACACACTCACACACCCTATTCTTGAAGGTTGCTTCCCCAGACATGCATCCCTTGATACGCCTTGATATCACTTTCCATCAGGGAACCCTGCACTTAGCATAATCCTGATCGACTCTGTGATGTCAACTCTGATCGAGCAATGGATATAGCATGGTGTTGTTCCAAAATGTCATACAACATTGTACACAAACCGTTCGGTTTCCCATCAAAACCTTCGGCAGTCAAGCGCCTATCATGGCACTCATCTCTCCATACACACCAGGCAACCCTAACAACAATATACACAACACAACAGTTATACACATTGCAATTACCCTTAAAATCCCTTAAGCCAATGAAGCCAACAAAATTCTGGAACTTCAGGCCCACAAAGCAACAATTGCCGACCTCCAGCCATCCGCCGAGTCTTTTAGTCCAACACCACCGTGGCCTCTGTCGCTCCACTGCCTCCGCCGGCCTTCCTTTGGCGCCGCTCGCGCATGCGCGCCCTGCGTGCGGCGTCCTCGGCCTGCTGCCGGTGCTTTATCTCCTGTAGAATCAGCCCACAAAAATGTGGGGATCAAAGGGGTTCACCAACTGTGGATATCATAGCATATATATATATATCACTATAGTACTAAGATTCACTAAGCAAAATAGGATTCAAGGGGGTTGCCAACAAATCAATGATTAACTGCGGAGATACATGAATGGGAAATAGAAACCAAGAAAATTATACAGTACATAAAGTTGTTCAAGCAAGGAAACTATAATAGTCTTTTCACAAACATGTAAAGTGTTGTAAAGTGGTGCTATTTAACAAGCATGGGAATGTACAAATGGCGAGGGTCTTTCCTGGTTTTCCGAAAATGGGAGATGCCTAAATTATGGTATCTGCGATTTTGGGGAATATTTTCAGGCAAGAACTGAATGGAGCCGTCCCCACAGCTTACAGCAACCATTGTACAATTAATCGTTCCCAGTAGGCTTGGTAATTATACATTATCTTAAATTATTTTACATTATCGTAGGAATCTGCAGAGTTGAGTAGTAATTCTGAATTCTTCTCGGCACATGATGGAAATCAAACCGATTGCAGGCTTAAAAGGGGGGGGGACAGCTTCAGAATATGTCTTTAATGCTCGAAGGCTTCGGAAACAGGGCAGTTGTGTTCCAAAGATGATGATCAAAGACTTCACTCAATCCTCAATCATGTAAAATATATGTGTATGTATATATATATTATATATATAATATTATATATATATTGAAAGTCAACAACATGGCTCTTTACATACTTGGAAGACGCGCTAAGGTTTTGGTAACAGAAGAATTTTTTTCTGACCTCTCCAAGATTGCATTGGCATGCACGGGCAAACACCCATCCACAGCCCATCCAATACACCACACAATCATCCCAGCACTTCCATGCCTGAACAGTCCACGGCGAATCTGATTTTTATCCAATGTTCCCCTTACAGAAAATGTTCGTAAAACTCACAAGGTTTCAATTGGTTTCATGATGTTTCATGCATTTTACAGTACATGTCCTCCTGCTTCTTCCTCAGCTCTTCCGCTTGTTGCAGCAGCTTCTGCCTCCGTTCCTCCGCCTGCTCCGCCGGGGCCGGTACCTCCTCGCTCGCCGCAGTCGCCGCGCTCACCGCGGGCGGGGCCGCAGCGTCCTCCGCGTCCAGCATGGCAGCGATCAGATCTTGTGCTGCCTGCGAAAAACCACTGAGAAGAAGACACCAGCAGAAGCATCAGCATCAGGAATCATCATGACCAATCAACTATTACAGTACGCTCAGTACGAGTGTCAGTACATAGGTCGGTGGCACATTATATGGGAATATTTTCTGGTAGCACAATCATGATGTGTGCTGTTGATATGGGCATGTCGTGGAGTGCAGCCTAGTGCAGCTGCGGTGAAGAGCCCTGTTGCCGCTGACAAAATGCATCTGGCATTGTGCAGTCCAACCGCCCCTCTACTGATGCGGATGCCTCTCGTTTCCGCTTTCTCTCTTGCTCCATCTGCACTGCTTGCTCCCTGGGTTGACTTGAACAATGCCCCATGAGTGGCACATCTTGACAGAACTCACTTTCTTGTGGGGCACCCAAAGAAGCAGTACATCATATAGTACACCATCCCATTTACTACAGAGGGTAAGGGGCCTGAAAAAATCAACCAACCCTTTACACTAGGCCAGGATAGGCCAGCTTAGGCCAGCAGCTTCGCCAGTGCCAAATCCTTCTTGGTCTGCTCCGCTTGCTCCTGTCGCTGGCGTTCCCGTTCCTTCTCTCGCTCCTCAAGTCCAGGGTCAGTGGAGACTGGTGTTGCATGAAATTGATGAAGCTGCAATAAGTTTGCATTAAATAAATGAAGAGATTATTACAGTATATACAGTATATTACAGTATATATATATATAATGAAGGCTTGTAGATTTATTGACCAACTTACTCACCTTGTTTTGGTGGGGGGTCACCTTTGTGGGGTTGGCGGAAGTTGTGCCTGCAAAGCTGCCAGAGGTATTGTTTTGGCAAAAAATGAATGACTTACCGACTTGCATGTACATTCAGAATGCACTCACTCCTGAGGGTTGTGCAAGATGACAGTTTTTTCCAACAATTGGAAAGTTGAAGCACAATGTCCCAAAATAGCCAATATTCTGCTCCATGACACTTAGTTAAACACCCAAATGCCATTCCCTCAACAACAATTTTAGCGCTTCAATCGATGAACCAATAGCATACCCTCGGTCCAGCTCCGGGATACAGGAGTTATCCGGTCCTTCTCCTCCTCCTCCTCTTCGGCAATACGTTTCTTTTCTTCGATTTCATCCATGGTGGGCAGACCATCTCCACCCGATTTCACCCTAGCAGTGTGCATTGATTGTGCATCCCCAGAATGCGGAGGCACCTTCCCAGGGACGCATCTAACATGATTGGAGCATAACTCTGGGGCCCCCAAGTCCCAACGCAAAGGAAGCCTTTAAGGCCTCTTTAAACAGTATGGGGATATTATGGGGATGGGGTATATTGCAGAGGTCTGTTGGATTTGACTTGGTCCAGGCAAACCCTGCGCCCTATTTCCAAGTATCCTCTCCAAATCGTCAATGATGGCCAATGGATCCACACCACGGTACTTGTCCTCCAAGGCATCAACAGCTGTCTTTGGCCGTGGAGCCTTGATGGCCAATTTTTCCTTGGACCACCAGCCGTCTATACATATTATATAGATATGCATAGATATGCATCATCTGAAATTGTGCTTATGGGATGCATACACATACGTGTGTCATAATAAGGTGTCGCTGATGAGGATGATCAGGATCATCAGGATGATCAGGATGATCAAGATCAAAATTCTCATGAACTGATCTATAACTTCTATACATACATACATATATATATATATATTATATCATTATAATATAACATCTATAACTAAAGATGACTGCTGGATGTGCAGGACCAGGAAGAGGCACCACTAGGTCACAACTTCATGGGATCGGCAACCCTATAGGCTCCTATAGGAGTTTTTCCAACATAGCAGAATCGAACAAATAAAAAGCAGGCCATAGCAGGCCTGTGCAAGTGATCACCACCGTTCTGAATTCGCATAAACCTTTTGTGAGCTGTAGGGGCGCCCACCAAGACGAGAGAAAGCAGCTAGAATCAGCTAGAAGCTATCAACAAATCCCACCAAGACTCTGGCGCCATGATTGCATGAACACTCGCAGACCTCATGGCATCCTTGCTACCTGATCCAGGAAACACATGCAAAGGCACCAATATCATCCAATAACAATCCCCATCTCTGCAGGCTCTGCATGTCCGCACTTCAGTTACTGGTACTGGTACATCACATTCGCCCACATGTGGACATTGTCAGCTGAAAACAGCTTTGCATGTGGTGAATTGTGCACTTCCATGCCGTGGCACGGTCTTGGGAGGTCAACTCCTGACTGTTAATAATCACTAATTAAGATCATTAATTAGAACATATATGAACATATCCCATAGGATCCATGTATGGTATATATGGTAACATTTACCATCAATATACCCCCAATGTTAGCATATATACCATACATGGATCCTATAGGATATGAGAACCATTCCCTCGTTGAAAGCTATATGTCCTTCTGAAGGTCTCTCGAAACTGTATATTCTGCTCAGCCTTTACAGTGTTCCTTTGAAGGCTAGCTTTAACGCATTGCGTGAACATCATAGAAGCCTGGAAGGTATAGTTTTGGCCCTCGCTCCAGTGACAGTTTCAAGGTCGCGAGATATCAAACTGATTTGTAGCTGTGAATGGCACAATACTGCACATTCTATCGTGCCTGTTCACGATCAGCAAACATCTTCCACGGCAAACTTTGATCTATAAACATGCCCAGGCAGCATGTTAAAAATGTGTTGATATGATATACATGATAGATGCGAGGTCATCTTGAGCCATCCCGGGGCAACATGATGCACAATGACCGGGCTGCACCTGTGGCGGTGGTGACAACGCACGCTTGATGCGTATTGATATTCATGGCATTCTGCTTTCGATCGCGACACGCCATACCTCAGCTGACAAATTGGTAAGTCCGACAAGTCCTCTGAACTTGTAAAGCACGTGTCAAAGTGAATCCACAACAAGAATCAATATCCCAGCGCCCCCGGTTTGGGGTTCATCAGAAGGAATGTAAGTATTGCAGAAAACCCTGGCAGCAAATTTCAGCACTTCTTTATCCCATGCTGTCATATGCTGTAGCTGTACTGGCAGATCAGGATCCATCTCTCAGTCAGTCTGCTGATTCTCCACTTTCAAATTGCATGGCCAGGAAACATTCAGAGTGGCTGATGTGCACAATGGCATGGCATTCTGGGCAATTCTTTTGCCCCTGGCAATACATCTTTTGACCTCAGGCGTGGGTCCTACCGAGAGAAGCTAACTGTTCCGCCAGCGCTGCCACAACCACTGAGTCAGATACTGGCCAAAGGGTAAAAATCATGCGCGCGCTCGCCCATCGTATTGAGCGTGGGCTTGGGATGATTGCCTCATTGCTTCAGAAAGCACGGCTGAACTGATCTGTACAGTATACCCCAGCCACTCTTGAGTGCGGCATAACATCGGCCAAGGGGCAAGTTGCACAGAACATGTTCTTGCCCAGGTTCCAATTCTTGCCTCAGTTGGCGCAAGATACGATGTGTTCTCACTTCTCACACTGTTCTGGTGAGAATAAATTTTGAAAAAGCTCTTTTCCGAAGCACAGTTGTGCTACATATCTAGTCCGACAAAACCATAATTACCACGGCAGCAATGTGGATTACGTCGGAAACTTCATCTTGACAGCCCCATGAACTCAGCACGAACACAACGAAGTTGTTGGAAGAATTCTGGCCGCGAATAAGCTTGAAGCAAAATTCAGTGAAGAGATAGGGATCGCACACACACTCATCACACGTTCACAGATCCAGAAGAATGGACAAAATTGAACAAAGTGAATTCTACCTACGCAAGGCAAGATTCATGCTGGGCAAATGAAATCCGAGGACTTCCACGAACGTGGCATGGCAGTGTCCAGTCGCCGGTGACCGGTGCAAGCGTCCGTTGTTGAAAAGTGCAAAAGCAAAAGTGTCTGCAGACTTGCAACTCTCTCATGTCATAGGGCATGACTTAAATTAGAAGTAAACAAAAGTAAACCGTGAATATCCAGAAGTATCAAGCATGTTCAACAACAACAACTACGACGGGAAGAGAAGATACGGGTGGCCATGATTTTGAGACATGACGCAGGCATAGATCAGCCGTGAATGGTGTCAAATTGTTTGAAGTTATTTGAGCCAGATTGACTTGGTGACAGGGGGAACTTCCCAAGACAGGCCCAAATGGGCCACTGGTTGCGGATTGTTTGGAAGCTCTGGACTATGCTATCTTCGTACTCTTTAGAATTGCGATAGCAGAATGAAGACCATTTCCAAGTGCCAATCTTCGATAATCTTCGTGCCACAAGGTCTGGAAAATTGATGAACAGATGAACGTTGCAAATCTTCCTGTCTGTTGTGGTTTGAGCCAGGTGAAATGCTGCCAGGATTTTACGGCCGAAAGGATAATCTTCTGAGAACTGACCCAAACGGAACCATGAGATGACCCTCTGAATCATTGTTATTCAACTGCTTGAACCAAACAAATACCAGCGTTTAGATATGTTCATGGGATGCAATGGTAATGGTTTAAATCTCGATGTCTCAAACCCTTAGAACAACCAACGATCAACAATCCAACTCCATGATCAATGCAGGCTCCGAACAAGATCATCGAGCACATACACGTGAAGATCTTCATCATGAACCAAAAACCTCTTCGACTATCAAATGTTCCACCATTCATAAATGATTCGATTGACATCTTGCAATCACCCCCAATGATGGAATTGATTCCCAGCGGTTTTCATACTGGAAGTTACCGGGTGTAATAATCTCAAAACTTGATCTCCAATGTGGCTCCTTTCGGTCTTGCTGGCCACTGGTGAAAGACAGGCCCTTCTCCTTTGGTGTGTCTGGGCTGGGCATGGAAGGCAATCCGCTGATCCCAGTCACATTCCTTGTAGACACCTTCGGAATCCTTCGGATACCCGTCATTCCAAGTGATTACACTACAAGTATCTACAAGTACATACTGTCATATTCATTCATTTACTATTTCCACAAAAATATATGCAAAACTTAACTGAACTATAGTTCCATTTATTTCCGATGATCATGGTTTTTTGCATAACATACCATAACTATGGCACTCTGGGGGACCTTCAAAAACCACTCTGGTCTTCCAAACCAATTCCTGGAGTCCAATAGGTTCCCATCCTGTTCCATCCGTCCTTGGCGGCCTCCGCCTTTTCTTTGATCAGGCGCTTCTGTTCATCCAGTGCCCATTGATGCGGTTGGCCCACCTAAGGACCAACGCCAAGGGAGCCAGTTCAAAAAAATGCGGCATGACATGGCATGTCAATGAAACCGGTGAAGGGAAAGACATGTTGTTTCAACCATGTTTTCCTGCTTTTGATATGTCATACATTGTGTCATACCTGGGAAACAGAATTTCCGTATGGGCTTCTATCCATCAGGTCCAACCAAGACACAGTGTCTGACCAGAGTTTGAACGAGCAAGCGTAGTAGGCCACGAAAAATGCAGCGACCTTGTCCAAGAGACCCAGCACATCAAGCAACAGCAGCATCCTAACGATTCCTAACGTGTCCCGCCAACACAGTTTACCAATGTTTACCACGTGATTCACAGGATAGGACCTGATCGACGAATGATCGAGATCCCTTGAGGCCAAGATAGACCAAGCTGCCACGTATCTCTTCCAGGGAGCTCTTACCAAAAGTCGAACATGGGCCACGCTGTTGGGATGCCGCAAGTGCATTGGGCCCCCGGTGAACGCCAACTGGCAGCAGCTCAGTGGGTGCAAACACCATGGTTTCACCCGGAAAATGGAAGGAAATGTGCAATTCATGTGCTCACAATGCGGAAATTAGACTGTCAATTTATCTTGCCCGGGACAATGTTTTGTGACCTTCTGGTCTCCAAATCCGTAACCATGTCTGTACCCACGTATGAAAAAAATACGCATGCGTTTCAGGTATGAGGCCTACTTAGCAATGCGTCTACATATCCAGCATAATCAAATCGAATCTATCTGGCCGCGCCAATGCAACGCTCCTGCGTTAGCATCTGCAAATATAAATATGATTTGACCTAACAAAGCAATGTGAGCACCAAAAATATAGGCACGGGAAATATCGGGAAATGCTAGAGTGGTAAAATGAATCATTTCAAACAGCGTAGGATGAAAACTGTGACCGAATCTGAGCACATGGGCTGGGGTCGTTTAATGCACAATGGTCACATCATGTCACATCAGTTGGTTCCGCATGATCTAAGGCTCTAAGGCATGTGTATATTAATCTGAAACAAACAGGTCTCCATAAAACCAATGACTTTGAACAAATTGTCCATCCAATGACCATCCAGTGATCCAGGTTTTTCTTACTGGACTCCCCGGGACTCAGTCACCAAGCCCCACCTGATGAGCCAATCTGCTGGACCCCGCTGGCAAAGCTTGAGCCGACAGTCACAGAATGGAACCGACTTAACTGCGCCCTCAGCCCATTGGCATTGCAGAAAAAACTCGGCCCTGCAATCTGAAACATGAAGCAAATTAAAACAAGAAACACAGAAATGAAGCCAAGCCAGTTGTCATTTTGCAACAGTTGTGCTTTCCGGAATCAAATCAACCCCCACGGTCTGTCTGCAACAAATCTCCCACAAAGAAGTTGGCTTGAATGGGGCCCTGAAGTATCTGAACTGGAGTGATCAACGTTCCGCAATTTAACAATGTTGTGTCTTGTAGGAAGACCACCCCCAATCACACAACTGGACCACACATCCCAAGGTCCCAAGGAGCTTGGTGGCACCTTGCTGGACTTGGGCCTTGGCTTGGCATTTGGACTGTGACCCCCTGGGCAGGGATGCCCTCCCATAACTGAGGCACCCCACGGTGCTGGGGTCCAAGCAGCACGCCGCCTCATTTATTTTTGGGAAGCACACACACACATATATAATAATATATAATAAATAAATATCAATAATTAATATATTGAATCAAACCATGTGTTTCCCTGTTTCCCTGTTTCCCTCTCCTCTTTTTGAATGAGATTCACACTTCGGACTGCCCAACACATTCCCGACATGTCAGAAACTGCTTGTTGCCAGTTTGCTCAACACCCTTGGCAGGACTGTCGCCTTTCGTCGTTTGCTTGGCCGCCGCTTTTGGCACTTCGCTCGACATTTTCCTTAGGGTGAAAAGCAACACTTGGCCTGGCACCTGACTGTGTGCCCTTTCGGCCTGCCCATGGCAAGCGAATTCCAATGGCCAAATGAAACATGGCCTTGGGGCCTTGCACATGTTGAAGTGACACTGAGACAGCACCCCCAAATAAGTACCATTCTCGCGGCCAAAGTAGGAACTAGCCGTCCATCTACAGCAAGTGCGACCGACCCTGAAGCAACTTCCCAAAGCCACCTTCGTTTCGATTCAAATGTAAAAGCATGGTGGACTGCACCAACTAAGCTGCTTGCTTCCAGGTCATCGTTGTCACTCTTTCTGGGATCGTCTTTTCTGTGCAAAGAGCACGCATGTCTCCAACACCGAAAAAATGGAGCATAATTTTACATGATTTGTGACGTCTGTGATACGCTGCATGTGCTTGTGCAACGTGTCAATGAGATATATATATATATATAATTAAGTCAACCATTGCAAACGGAAAGCAATTCATATCTTGTGTGGATTGCAGGAATTCGAGTACGTTCCAGATCGTTCCAGTTTTAAAGGGAACAACGAATAGGAGCACTCCTATAGATTATGGTAAGTCGATGTAAGTCGTATGGTTCTGGACGAATCGAATGCAAGAGACCCACATTTGTTGTCTTAATTAGTTGCTTGACACTTTTGCTTCAAGAGGGTTCACTGCACAAATGGAGTTATCTTCTATAAACCATTAGGCCATTATAAGATATTATAAGAATTGTGATGATCTTAACATATATGATTAATAATTAAGGTAATAATGTAAGAACTTGGGCCCATTATGCACACCATTGTGTTTTTGAAGTGGTCGCTTTCTTCTCTTCCATGGCAGGGTCCTGCTTATTCTCATGGATGCTCCACATAATGCAAGAGGTCGACCCGTAAGATAAACATGATATAATATGATATAATACACATTGTGATGATATAAAACACATGAATATGTTGCAGCATATATGTATTACACAGCACTCAATATGAATCATACATGATGATGTATCAGTCTAGCATGAATCACCTGTTGCTATCCCATACTGTCTCACAATCTGCTTTAGAGCACCATCGCGCTGGCTAAACCGAAAGAGCACCATAAGCTCTACATTCCATGAGCTGCTGCCTGGGAAACTCATCCTCTCGACTTCGACCTAAAAGAAAACAACGACAGCGTGGCAAATGTGATATATATGTGATGAAAAGAGTCCGAATTAAATGTTGTAAGTCAATCGTTGGTATATATAAATTATAAATGTATAACGTAATATGAAGCCTTCCAAGCCGTTTAAGTGCCTTTTCACCTGGCTGACTTTCAGATCTTTCAGCCAACCAACTCCTAGTGCTTTCTTTTATGGTTTCAAATCCTTGGAGATGCGTTGAAGGCGACAAACTCGTCATAGGTTCGGTTCCACCTGGGCCCCTCCCTGGGTCATCCTGGGTCCCTCCTTCGTCCTTCCACTATAACCCGATCCGATCGGTGCTGAGACCCGGCCGCTGTGAGTAAACACAGGTGGCGGCGGCCTCTGCGGAGGATTGGCTTCAGGCTATCAGGACTCCAGGACCCATGAGAATGGCAGCGTTGTAATGCGCTGTACAGATTTGTAATGCGTATATACATCGACCCACTTTGAAGGACAATGTCCGAGAGGGAATGTCCTAAAAACCTCTACTATTTGCCTTGGATCCTACTTTAATAAGGTACAACCAGCAGGCCTTGGCGACGGGTCTTCCGATTCGAAGATCCTTAGGATGTTAAGAGATGAAGGTTGATGCACTGCAGCCGACGTCGGCTGAAAAAGCAGGTTCACTATGCCTTAAAAAGATTGGTCGGTTGACTCAACACGGCTTAACTATAACAACACATAATCATACATTGGGTGTTTTCAGAAGGCCTGTGGCCTGTACCCCAAAAGTAGTGTTTACGGAGCTTCAAAATTTACAACTTCTTTTAACAATTTCTTTTGAAACAATCCAACTTCTTTTGCGAAATTGCAACTTCTTTGTAAAGTTGTTTTCAGAAACTTCTTTCAACTTGTTTTATCATTAAAAGGAGTTAAAAAGAAGTTTTCAGAAACTTCTTTCAACTTGTTTTATCATTAAAAGTAGTTAAAAAGAAGTTTCTGAAAATTTCTTTCAGCAAATAATTGATTTAAAAGAAGTTTCTGAAAACTTCTTTCGATAAATCGTTTACATAAAAGAAGTTTCTGAAAACTTGTTTCATCAAATTATTTACTCGAAAGAATTTCCTACAAACTTGTGTTTGAATGCACTGCAATCGGACAGCAAAGCAACATCAGCCACCACATCGTCAATTCGTGTTCAAATCGATTTACTCATTCCTGGCTAACATCAATTGAAATCAACGCCCTCACCATGCAACCGTTCCCAGTAGTGTGAAAATCAGACACCCTTCCCCCTCCAGGGCCCAAGCGTGAAACCATTTTTTTTCCCCTGTCCAAGCTGGTCATTGCGACTTGCGCTCTCTGAGTTTGCGCTTCAAGACTGCTACTCCAGCACTCACGGCAGCGGGTTTTGACACCGGGTCGGCGACCGAATCTTCTGAGCGGAAAGCAAAGCTGAACTGTTCTCAAGCACGCCGCACAAAGTGTTCAACAATTCAAGCCTCAGGGCAGAATTCAACCAAGACCACATCTATTGGCTGATGTTCTCCAGCTCTTGCGCGGCCCTCGTGGTTGCTTTCTGCATGTGCGTGCCTTGCTTCTTCATGTCAACAATCTCCTTCTGAACGAGCCGCTTCTTCTCAAAAAAGACCGCGACAACGCCGGACAGTTCTTCTTCTCCAGCGACACTCTTCTCCTTGACAACTTGCAAAGCAGCAGAAGCCTCTTGCAAAGCTTGCTCCACATTCACACGGGCAGCGCCCTCCACCATGACTTCGGCTGAAGCCTGGGTCAAGCTCTGTCCTACTTTGTGTTTGGTGAAGAAAGCAACAACAGATCCCGGGCGCTCATCTGCCCCTAGTTCCTTCAACTTCTCTGCGCCACGCTGCAAAGCAACAACGTCTCCAAGAGACATCAGGTCTACCACCATACTTGCAACCTTCGCACATGGGCCTGAAAGCTCAGAATCCGGGTGGCCTTGCTCTGCCACAATGGCCTCGCAAAAAGTAACCACTTGACAGCGATAGTCGCTTTCCTTTTTCTGAACATCCTGAGAAGGAAAGTTGCGGAGCATGTTGGCCAGCGCTTGCTCCACTTCCAGGTCGACAAGCTGAGCCAAGTCTTGCTGAGACATCCGGATTCGCAGCTCCTTCACCTGAGGGCTGGAAGGCAGACACAATCTTTGCACTTAGAATGGCTTGAAATTACCAGAAAGTATCAGCAAGCATACTGTGAAACTATGAGGGGGAACATGGGGAACAAAGGTGTTGGATGATGATTTATAACTTATAACTTAAACTGAAACTTATTAACTTATACAGGTTGGCAACCTCCCGAAACAAATTTGCCTGCCTAAAGACCAAATGTCTTTCAAAAATCCAGAAACCAAGCAGGCTCCATCAACCATGCTACTTTGTAGCCAGCTTTGCCCAAATGTGTAAACGCCTGGCCTCATCCTCAGACGAACGGAACAGCTTGCAGTAAGCACTGAAGTCTTGGTACAAACAGCACTGGGAGCACTTTGTGCTGAGCAACTTCTGCCACACCTCTGGGCCAAGCACGATGTTAAAGGGCGAGGATTTACATGCCTCGACTGCTTCTGCCAGTTCATCGGCAACTGGGCTGGCTATGTTCAGCCTGGTGAACAAGTCCAAGAGCTTCTGGATGACATCCTGAAGGCTTTGGAACCGCTCCAGCTCTTCAACCAAGCCGTGCTTGTTGACGCTGTCCTCAATCTTCTTGATCTGCTTAGTTGCAGTATTCAGTAAGGAATTCAAAGCCTTTGTTTTCTTTGAATACACCAACTTTGCATCAGCGTGCTGCAAGCTGTAGTTGACTTCCAAGTGATTTGCCTCCAGTGTGTCCTCCAACTTCTGGCACATCTCTGCGAGGTTTTCTTTCAATCGCTTTCCGCGACCGTCGAGCTGGAGGGTCTCAGTAGCGGCCACCCGCTTCTGCGGTTCCTCTGTGGCCTTGGCGGCAGCTGCTTTTGGGCGAGCACTACTGTTGCTCTGTTCTCCCGGCCTGCGGCCCTCTGCTGCTTTGGGCGTAGCTGTCACACTGGGCCTGGAAGCTGCTTTTGCAGTTGCCTTTGGGTTTGCCTTCGGTTTAGCTTTGGCGGCCTTGGGCCCTCCAACCGTTGCAGCTAGGCGAGCTGCTGGGCAAACCTCCTCCTCTTCTTCTGCTTCATCTTCGTCCTCGTCCTTGTGCAAGTCAACAAGTGCAGAAGGGCTAGCCTCATCTGCTTCTGGGTCTGCGCTCAGGGCCTGCCCACCACCAGCAAGTTTCAAGTTTGGCAGCATTTTCTGCAAAGTTGCCAGAACATCGCCTGCCTGTGATGCAGGGCCTGCGGCCACTGTGTGCTTTTGCCTCTCTTCGTCGGCATCCGCAAACACCTTCTGCAACGCAGTTTTTTTGGTCACTAAAGCTTGCTCAGCGAAAGGGCCGGATCCACTGTGCTCCTCAGTGCGCTCAGCCAAACTGGTGTCTTCATACCCGGAAGCTTCCAGCACACCGGCACGTCCTTTGGCCCTCCAGATTCCTTTCACCTTCTTCCCTTGCCAAGTTTCTTCCACTATGTGTGCTTCGTCCAGCTCACCGTCCAGCTTGGGGTCCCAATGTTCCAGGAGTACGAACTCCCTCTTGGGACCCTTGAGTTTGACACCAGTCTTGGTCTCACTGTGCAGAGTGGTGTGGGCCTTCTTCACTGCTTCCCTGTCCATTCGCCCAGTGGGATCCTCATTTCTTTGCTTAATCCATTCTTTCATAGAGTTTATGAAGCTGGTATGCTTGCTGTTGTCATTGACGATCTCTTTGTAGTACGCACCATACGACGTAGTTCAGACCCAGCGCTCTGAAGGTGCTGAAGCAAATCATGCACAGTTTCCCTTCTGGGACTTTGACCTGCTCGTCCGACCCAGGGTGGCGCACTTTACGGTACTTGTTCCAGGGCCGGCGGCCTCCATACTGGTCATCTTCCTCTCCTCCCACCAAGGGAGAAGGGTCAGTGCTTTTGGCATTGCAAAGGCAATGCCTTACTCAGGGTAAAACACACTGCCAAAGTAGCCAGCACCACGGGCCCAACACTGGAAGCTGCTTGGGAGAGTAGGTCATCCTCCATGACGGCGACGCGCAGTAAAGAACAACTGCTCAGGTTTGAACCAAAAGCCCTGCTGGAAAACAAGCTGCCTGACAGCACTTACCCTCGACAACCCTTTTCAGAACAACAAACTCGGGCCACAGCAGAGCAAAACACCGCCAGCGCTGACACCAAGCAGGCAGTCCAAGGTTCAAAACCCTGCAGCCAGCGCACTTTTTCACAGGGACCAGCGTCCGGCTCTGCTTTGCGCTCCAGCTCCTGGTTGTTTTGCGCTTTTGGCGATCACCTGAGAGCATGGCTTGTTTGCATGGAAGCATCTATTGGTAACTACCGCAAAATTAAAAGAATATATGATATATGATGAAAAGTTTCAAAAAGAAGTTGCCAATTTCCAAAAGAAGTTTCCACCGAATTTTCTCTACGAAACAACTTGATTTCTCTACGCTCTCAATATAAACAAAAGGAAATCTCTACGATTTCTCTACGAAACTTTTTTCAGAAACTTTCTCGGTGAAATTGAAACTTCTTTTGAAATGTTCTTAACATTTTTTGATATAATTGCATTTTTGTTTCATTTGTTTCCATAAATAGACAAACATACACATACGTTAAGCATCTGTAAAAATAGTAAAATGTCTCTGGAAACAAATTGTGACAAGCAGTGGCTGCGAAAACTTGAACGGTGAACGAAAGTGCGGTCAAATGACTCAAAGAACTTCAAAACCAGGAAGCGACCAAAGCATCCATAGCTTCCTCAGACATTCCCTGTGCGAAATCTTGCAGACCTTTCCCACCCAGCTCTACATGGTGCGACCGTCGCCTGTGAACTGGCCAGTTCTGGTCTGAATGGCCTGCCAAGAGCCACCTCTTCAAACGCAAGACGCATTCCGCATCGGTCAGCGACCCACGGTTCATAGCTTTCTTGCAAGACAAACTGTTTCCTCGGTCGCAATGCTGTCCGCAGATGGCTCCCCAACCACTGTGGCCAGCGGCCGGAACAATCGGCGCGATTTGGAATGGACCCCAGGGAATGGACCGAGACTGCTTGACACGCTTAGAGCGAGCCGGTCCAGCGGACGAAGAAGCAGGCGCTGCAACACTGCTGGTGTCTGCCGCAAAGTCTGAAGCTGAGCCCCTGCGAGCCGGTCCAGCGGACGAAGAAGCAGGCGCTGCAACACTGCCGGTGTCTGCCCCAAAGTCAGAAGCGGAGCCCCCGCTTTCAGAGGCAGAATTCCACTCCATGTCCGAAACATCTGGAGCCAGGGTCTGCGACCGCTTGCCTTTGCTTTTTCGTTTGTTGGAGTTTCTGCTTTTCCTTTTTTTATTTGCGGTCAAACCTTGGGCAAGCTTGGCTGCTTTTGCTGCGAGCATAACTTGCTTCATTTCAGCAGCAGCTTGTCTCAACTCGGATCGGCTCAGTTCCTTGCGCTCTGCGGCTTGGAAAATGCCATAGTCCACGGTCAGATCTCCAATGGACAAGCGAAACAAGACCCAGTCAGACGCGGCTCGGGCAAGCTCATGGCAAAATGCAATGTCAGAATGAATGGATTGCCTGCCCAGCTGCACTGCCAAGCAAAAAGGAAGCTCTTCGGAGTCCCCGGCTTCCTCCAGCTCAAGAAGGACCATGTCCCAAGGAGGCTTGCGGATGTGAAAAGCGACCACAGCAAACCTTCTCTTCTGCAATGACAATGAGTGCCATTCCAAAACCAAAGGGTGAGCAGACAAGTCCCGCTTCAAAGGCTCAATCACCCGGACAGCAGTGACCAAGTCATCGTGGATTTCCCGAAAGACTGGACGCTGCGCTGCCTGCAGCTCCTCCTCACATCCACCATGCGGGCACACAGCAAACAAGTTATCACTCACATCTGGCAGATCATCTTCCGCCTCCACCAGCATTGCATGCTCCTCCAAATGAACAATGCCAGCCAAAAATATCTGGGTTGGAGTGGAAAAGCAAACAGACAGTAGTATGACTATGACTATGACTATGGCCTGTCTTTCTGATGTTGCGGTAGTGATGATTGATGATGATTGAATATAGAAAAATTGATGGTGGATGATGGCTCTGTTGACCTGGCCTCTTCCCAAGCCGATGAGATCTTTCGTAAAGCCACAATCCCTTCCCCCATGGCAGCTTCCAACAGATCAACTCGGAGCGGCCATCTGTCTTGCAGCAGGCATGTGTTCCACAAGCCGCCAGTCTCTCGGCCTTCAGGGCCAGCCTCGTTGTCTGACATCTGGGAGCTTCTGCTGCGCAGACTGTTCAGCCCACGCGCCTTGAAACTGTAAGGCGCTTTCTCTCCGGGAGAAAGTCTTCTCCAAGCAGCTGTAGCCTCTTGAACAAAGGTTTGCCTCCCTTCATCTCCAGCCACTTGCTGCGCTGAATAGTTCTTCCTGAACTCAGACATAAATACATTGTATCCTGTGGTTCGGCTTCCTTGCTTTTGTTCTACCCAGTCAGGACGAGACAAATGATTTCGCTTCTGGTGCTGCGGGTGGTTTTGTTTCCAAGCCTGGGCAGCGCCCTTGCAGAAACTAGTCACGTGCTTGGCTGCCAAAGTGCCAAGCTTGGGCTGCTGGTCGCTCCAATGGGCAAACTGGGCGAACCGCCGCTCAATGAAAGTTGATGTTGGCACAACACGTTCGAAAACTTTTTGCAAAAAGACTTGGAGCTGCGAGTTCAAGAGTTCTTCTTCTGTGCGGTGTATGCGCTTGAGCCGCTGTGAAAAACCGCTGTCCAGACAGCAAGGCTTACTGTTGAGTAAAGCTTTAGCACATGACCTGCGGTCTTCTTGGCTTGCGTCTTTCAAGGCCAGCGGCCATAAACACCAAGGATACTGCTGCCATGGCAAAATCAATTTTCTCGCAAGTTGGCCTGCCATGACGATGCGCTCATCCCGGACGGCGTCCCTGGCACTTTCCAAAGAGGGGGCAAAGCCCATTGTCCATTGAGAGTGCGAGCACAGAACAGAGCAACTGTTGGCGGCATCCTTGCCGACTCTCAGGTCAAAGGTTGACTCGTCAAACATCAAATTTTGAATGAAGAATCTGAGGGGTTCCTCTGAAGCCTCTGCCACCACTTTCTCACAGCTCTCTGCCTGAGACTTGCACACTGCGGCAGCGCACGCAAATCTAGCGGCCCTTGCCTGACTGCAGGAAGCACCCTCCACTTCGTTTGCTATCTGCCTATAAGTTGCAGTTTCCTGCCCAAAGCCTGCGCGCAAGATCGCTTCTGGAGTCCAAGTCTTCCATTTCCCTTTGCCTGCCACACTCTGCCGACTCAAGTCTTGTTGGCTTGGTAGCCGATGATCTGCTGTTCGGGCATGGCCGGTCTTGTTGAAGCACTTGCTCTGCAAAACAAGTTGTTTCTGCTTCCTTGCCCAGCGAGCCCCTCTTTGTCTAGCCTCCGCACCTCGGGCTCGGTTGTGCCGCCCCAGGCCTCCCCCACCTGGTCTGCGACCCCCCCCCCTGGCGACTGCTACGGCTGGTGCTCTTGGCTCCAACGCATCTCTGGCGCCATACTGCTGGGCCAAATTCAAGACTTGATCCAGCCCCAAGGCTGCCATGCCAAAACCAAAACTAAGTTGAAACTTGAGCCCTGCAGTGAAGAACGCCCAGCAAAGAGAGATTCTGCCATGCTACAAGCTGGCCAGTCCATGTACCCGCTCCGCTGCACATGCCAACAGTGTACTTACTGCGATTAATCATGGTCCAAACATTTTTGTGAAACATACTTTATTACAGCGTGTTGCAATGTGTTTTTTGTTTTTGGTGTGCATGTTACAGGCTTGTTTTGAAGGGCTGCTTCATATGAACTTGAACGTTTGTTCAGAAATACATTGTGATTTGTGTTTTGTCATTGTTTCGGATGCGAAAAAATGAACAAATTTAGAGAAGTTTTAACCAAAAAAAAGTTTTTAACAACTTTCTACAAGTTGTTTTGAAATACAAGTAAATGTTTTAACAATTTTCTTAAAATTGTTTTTAAATACAAAGTTGTTTTCAGAAACTTTCCAAAAGTTGTTTTTAAACAAAAAGTTGTTTTCAGAAACTTTCCAAAAGTTGTTTTTAAATAAAAAGTTGTTTTCAGAAACTTTCCAAAAGTTGTTTTTAAACAAAAAGTTGTTTTCAAAAGTTGTTGTTAAACTTTCGGGTACTATTAAAAGAAGTTTCAAAAGAAGAAAGTTGTTTCAAAAGAACATTGTTGATTTTTAAAGTTGTTTGTTGCTAGGTTTTGTGTGTGGCTGACACAGGCCTTTCTGAAAACGCGCAAATCATACATAATCAATATTGAAATATGTTTCAACATGTTTCAACATGTTTCAACATGTTTCAACCACCAGACATGTAAGGGTGTGGATTTGGAAGGTCTCATCATCCACCCTGGCACTGCCACACTAAAGGTCCTGTCTTGTAGGAAGTAGCTGGTATTGGTGGAACTCTGGACTCTTACTATGTCTGACCTGTGAACCTTTATTCACAGCCGGCTTGGCTCAGCCTGTTTGGGTCCTTACTTTAGTAATTGAGCTGCACCAAATCAACGGTGCATCATTCGGTAGCTGTGTCTGGGTCACTTGACCACTGATCCTACATGCGGACGGAGCAGTCGCATGCATCATTTTCAGGCTTCAGTCTCCATCCTCAATCTTGCGATAGAAGGCAACATAAGTTTCGGCCTTCAGCGCATCATCAATGGAACATTTAGCGACAGTCGCATCGTTGCAGAAGTACCAATTGCCTCGAGGCAATGTTCGAGGCATCCAGAGGCTTAGTAAACTCAAACAAGAAAAAGCGGTGCCTTCCATGGTGCAAACAATACGAGATATCAATTCTGAGCATGTTGAGCATAGAGGCTCATGGCGTACATGACTGATACCTACAGTAGTATGTATCAATGTGAGATCATAGGAATGTATGAATGTGGTATTAAAAAATGGCTCTACATCCCTCACTCTCTCAACACATCATCTGGTGCGCAAATAGATCTATAAATAGATCTACAATGATCTACAGATTAGATTAGATTAGATTAGATTATGTAGATGTGATTAGATAGACAGACATTATTTGTGCGCCGCCCTTAAAATCATTGAGATGATATTCAGGAGATCTATTTTTATCGACCCCTGTGAGATCACTGGAGCAAATTCTCCACGCGGATCGAGCCTTCCTCCAGGCTTCGGCCAAGGTTGACATAAGCAGTGTAATGGCCGCCCTGCAGCGTCGATCCATGATGTTGCACAATTCCTCGTCCAAGTTGGAGCTTGGGAAGATGCAGCTGTCATGATGACATGGCATCATTTGATCTCCATTCCGAATTGAGATCACTCTTCCTATCCGTATCTTGGTCAACCAAGTCTGAGTTCACACATACTTTCCACTCTGGAAACATGATGAAATATGTAGTAATTTAATGAGAGGTGCTGCTTTCTGACAACCTTGGGGCGACCCTGCTGCAACATGCGACAACACTCTGTCGTCAAGGAGCCGAAAAGTTCGTAGGAGGCTTTCTCATCAGGACTGATGGGCAATTCTTGCTTTTCACACTCCGACTTCAAATGCTCACGGACGTTCTTGGCAATGTCTGGGGTCATCATCAAGTCCTGAAGTGTGTGAGAACGGTATCAGACATGCATCAACTATGGCAATGGCAATGAACTTCTAAGAGCAGAGCAACTAACATCATCTAACTACATGGTCATTCTCTTGGCTCCCTTTGGCATGGCATAGACAAACTGACCACTTGCTGACCAACTTTCTAATCTTTCTCCCGATCACTCGGAACTGATGACAAACAAGTTGTCCCCATCCCATCCCATCCCTGGGTCCGAAAGGTCGAGGGTTGCTGGCACTGCCACTTTGGTCTTGATCTTCTGTAGCTTTCGATTGAAACCTTGGCCCCCGCCACTGCTGGAAAGGTGAGATTTGGTGCATGCTATGGGTGATCCGACGGTCGACTGGCGGTCCCATAAATGGACAATAGTCAAAATGCTGCGGAGCAATTCCAATTTCTACGTCGTTTCCCATGTTTTGTTGATAATGCATTTTACTTTACTGCATGTTGTATCATTTGGTTTTGCTATGTGTTACGCATATTTTACACAAAAATCCGATGGCTAATTCAACATATCCCCATGAAAAGTGCCAAATTTTACCATTGGAAAAGCAGGAAAAGAACACAAGTCTTTTCTCCGTATACTCCAGGATGGGAATATGAGAACCATTGAGAACCCACTTCTCCCACAGCTTGCCGCTTCCGAGCGGCGCTTCAGTTGCACCGTCAACAGCTTCGGCATGGAGCCGCACAGCCAAGACTTGGAGGTGGCATACCTGGTGGCCCATGAGTAGCCCATGGGAAGCCAATGCAGCTGGGTTGTTTTGGTCCCACAAAGCACAAACATGTCAAAAAGATTCAAAAAGGTAGTTGAAGGAGAACGGTGTTGAAGTCTGTTGAAGGGACCAACCCCAACATCCAAAACTGCGACCACAATAACAAGGACGATGATGGCACCAGCAACGACACCAATGACTACGTGCTGATATATTAGCAAATACAGCAACAAACAACCCAAAGACCAGAAGAAACCACTCCCAACAACACCAACACCAAGACCATCAAGAAAGGAAAGAACCAACCACCAACAACTATCACAAACGATAGCCATAAGTATTAGCACACATCTTTCCCCCCCCCCAAAAAAAAAGAGGAAAATTCATATATATATACATACATATGAATTTGCAGACACATCTATCATCTATCATATAATATATATATGTGTGTGTGTGTGTGCGTTTGTTTGTTTATTGAATTTTATTGATCCATCGCCATCTCAACCAGCAGAACCAGCCGCTAAACCAAGAGACATTTTGTGTTTCTTCTTGGCGTTGCCATTTTCCGGTGCTTCGCCTTCCGCCGCCTTGGCACAGTCGCTGCAGTCGTAGGAGGGATGGAAGTCTTCCTCCATGGCCTGGCTCCGGTTCGGGATATGCTTGGAGAATGGTAGAGGCAGACGGTGGCAAAACAATGTAAAACATGGACGGCTCAGGGATTTTTAACATTTTTTAGTAGGGATTTCACAACTATCTATTTATATATAATATAATATATTTAATTAATTGCAAAGTAGTGCAAATGAAATGGTTCAAAATCATGGGGGACTGGAGGACTTTCCATCTTCTCCAAGGCAGCCCTCCTCAACTGCGACGTTTAATAATAGGTTCGCTTCTAGTTGGACCATCACTGGACCATCTGGCCTCAACACCGGCGAATTTCTGCAGGCAGTCCATCAAGCTGCAGCTGCCCTCAGAAATGACAATGAAATGACAATGAAATGACGGGCAGCATGGCAAGGGGCTAACCTACTAGGTGTGCTCATTGATGCCAACCAGTATGTGTATCATTGTGTATCTACGTGCTGTTGCGTATCGCCCGTACTCATACATGTCCGCAATAAGTCTGTGGCCCCTTGAGAGACAAGAACCACCAAACGCATGGGGTATTGATGAAATTCAAGGTTGTATGTTGTAGAGCGACTATCTAACATTATCTAACCATGCATGTATCAATGCTGCTTCAATTCAAGGAAGGAGATATCAGACCTTAACTTCTTACATGTCCATAGCTAGCATTCAGTTGTCGGTGATCAGTCCCTTTGAGGCTCGATGTCCTTAGGTCTGCAACAACTTATATTAAACGAATGTGTGTGAACGAGCCCGCTTTGAGCAAGAGGTCTTGGCACCTGTTGTTGCAGCACTCCCATCAGGGGTTAAAGAGACCAACACGAATAAACATGAACAAACCAAACCGAATTGAAAGCTCTGTTTTGCCACCAAGCATCTCCATTGATTCCAAGACTTTTGCCGGAATACATTGACTGCAGTTCATCGGGAAGACCTTCCTGACAGCCACGCCAAGCTTCCAACAACGCATTCTTACGCTCCACACGGTCTTCTTCATCCTCTTTGTCCTGCCCAGGTTCAGTCCAGAATCGCACAGAAGTGTAGCAGGTTGGCGAAAGCAATGCACAAAAACAGCTGGGAACTCTACAGTTATCGCAGATTGCTGGTCGCTAGCGGCACGCCCGCCCGGGCAATGTAGCATAATGTAGCAACTTTGAAAGATATGCAAAAAATGCCATGGATGAACGGACACGCTACCAATTGGAAGCAAGTAACATAGAGACAGAAGGCGCACACAGTTTTGGGAAACCATCAGCCCCGCTGGCTTTCAAGACCATCTATATAATGGATTTTTGAAACGGGTGAAAAATGGTGAAAAGAAAGGGGATGGCCGAAAGGGCCCTAATCTCTCAAAGAACTGCTGTACTCTTAAGAACCTTGCACTAGCCTTTCTGAATTGTCTCAGCCATGGGGAGTCACCATGCAAGTATATGGCTAGGGCCTGGCTAGGTGTGCATTCTGGTCCTGCTCTTCAAAACAGCCAACACATATAGACTCAACACAATACTACTAATGTTAACTTAGAGGTGCACATCATCATGTCTACAATTTACTTTGTTTACTTCTTCCTGTTTAACACACGCGTCATATGAAGCTCCATACCCTATGCCTTTCCCAAGTCTCCTCCTTGTCATTGTTCAGCAGCTCATGTGGAATATCCACTGGTGCGTGGAGGTCCGTGCGCTGAATTCCCAACGTAAGTTCCTTGGTTCAGAGCAACGCTGCATCCAAATTGTCCAATCATTCGCAATACCACTGAAGTCCTTTCGGTTTGACTTTTGTTGGACTACCACACTTGCAACAGCATCAGTCGCGGCGCCGTGTTCAGTCAAACTGCTATCGCACTGCAGTTTGCAGGTCTGAAAACTTACCCACTTTGTTATCTAAGGGGTTACGTGAGGTCCTTCAATTTCATGCCAAATATGAAAGCTGGCTTCCCCATTCCAATAGCTAAATCAATAAGTCAATGCCAGAAGGATCGCCATATTTTTTCCCTGCCGCATCCAACAAATATGCTGCAAGGCATGTGAATTTGCCAACCAATCCAAACAAAAGCAAGCCTCTTGCCCCCACTTTAGCGATTGACCGATTGACCCCACAACTATCCACATCCTTGTGGCCAGTCCAATGGTGTTTTTAGCCAAGTGTCAGGCTCCTGCTTCAGGAGTTTCAGCATCTGCTTGTGCTCTTTTTCACCCTGGACCTCCATGATCTGATCCTGGGCTCGGAGCGGTTTTTAGCCTCTCTGTCTGTGCTGCATCTGTGTCACCTCCACATGCCTCCACGTACCTTCACAATGAATATCAATGAATCAACGCTAATTGAAATGTTCGTTTCATATGTTGACAGCTGCCTAAACCACCTTACCACCTTGAAGCCACACATCATGACATCCCGGGACGCAATCACCAAGACTCTCCGGGACGAACCACCTTGTTGGCTTCGCCCATTGTGAGCTTTTTCAGGTTCCACTTGTCAACAATCGAGTCAGGCACAATGCTTGCCTTGCTCAATCGAGATTGTATGGTTTCAAGTGACCGCCAACTGTATGGAAATTTTGTTCCTGATCCACGTCAAATAATAACATACTACTGAAAATATAAGAAACCAGGCACTCAAATCAACAAATTGAAGAAAGGTTGGAGGTTTGGTAGTTGTTGATGGTTTTTGCGTTCACATGGCCAGATTTCATCTAATTACAAAGAGCTATGCAGCAAAAGTAGCGAAAGCCTCTACTTTAGCCACTGGGGTTATCCAAACATTCTCCCCCCTGGCATAGTGCTTCTGAGGTGCCACGATCAATTGATCCTGGGTTTTGTGGGAAGCCGCCGCAGCTGGGAGTTGTGTGGAGTCAATGAAGGGAGTTGAAAGATTTGCAAAGGCTGACAGAATGTACTCGAGAAGTTGTGACCTGGAATAGTCCTAGAACCCAATAACTTGGCGATGAGAGAGAGAGGGAGAGCTATTTATATTATATATAATATATATATATATCCGAAAATAAAGGCAACCATATATAATAAATCATATATATACACAGTATATATATATTTATATATATTTATATATATATTTATATATATATATATTTATATATATATATTTATATATATATATATATATATATGTGTGTGAACCAAATTATCCATGGTCCATAATCTTAATTATATATACCTCATCATTGCAAAAGGATGCGAAAAGGAGCCGTACCTAATTATATAATAAGATTGATATCCTTAGACCATGTGAAGCTTCTGTCAGGCAGGGTCTATTGCCAGCACCAAGCATCTTTGGATAGCGCAGACATGTTCCATTTGAATCCGTAGTCCTTGGTGGTAGCGAGTAGGCGATGGTAAAGGGATATATGTCATGTCCAAAATCAAGGGAAGCACGAAGTAATCCCAAGCAATCTCTGAAGGTTGAATGCTGCAAGGAATTGTCACTAAAGTCCTCAAAATTGGCTTATCGAATCAACATGTATCAAGACTTGCAAAATCTTGCAAAATCCAAACACAAAATACATACAAATACTGATGTATACAGTAATTATACAGTATATTGACGTTCTCTACAGAGATACATCATCTGCCTCGGCATCTATACGGATCTATACGGATAGTCCGAGGATTGCAAGAGTTTAAAGCTGGTCTTGCTGCAGAGCATCCTGTTTTCCGGTCTTCTCGCTCCTCAAGAGCACCTGCCAAGTCTGCGAAGTCACGTCGAAATCGCGTCGAATATGTCGAATGGACAGCACCAGTGGAGTCCAGCCGCTTTGGCTTGGCTAAGACATGCTAAGACACTCCAGTACTCTGGAGTCAGAACCAGGCCCAACAAGGCACCCAAACATTTCACCATGATTTCACTTAATTAATTAATCATTGGGATTGGCGGATGCACAAACTTCATGACACGATCATTGATTTTAAATAGTGGAAGCAGTTCCGGCCCACAAACAGCACAACCCGCACCTCGTAGTTGAAAGGACCTGGCATACGTACACTTCATCCAGTGGCGTATCACTATGTTCTGACTATCACTATGTGGGGGTATGTAGGTATGCATTCAGTTTCTTGTCTTGAGCGAATTACATGATAGTATATTTTCCCAAGAATGCATATGTGACACAACCTCCTGGGGCATGCAGCACTGCTCACTGAAGGAACCAAGATGTACCTCGCATTCCCATTGGCTCAAAGAAGGAAAAGCAGGTGAAGGCGGCATCCTTTCTGTACTAAAAATGCACTGCCACGGCCCACCTTCTTCCTCTTCAGGTTGATCTTCTTGTTCTTCGGTGTCTGCTTGATGTCCGCTGTTCTCTTCCTTGGCAATGGGAAGATTGGAGCAGCTGGGGGCACAGTCAATCCGCAACACCCACACGGGGAAGAATGCCAGCGCATGATATACATCTTACACATCCGATGATAAAACTCCCATCATCTCTCATCTCTAATACGTGCAATGACGATATGTACAACTGCGTAGTGTATGCAGAAATATATATATACTATATATATATATATATAATTATATATATAGCGCACATCATAGCGCCATCTGAAGAAGTTCGGGGATGATTGGTGCCCAGACACGGTACACCTGAGGTGGGCGACAATGCAGAACATGTGTTCCAAACTACCCAAATTCCCAAAGGGATCGATCAAATGATCAAATTCAATCAGCAAGGCCTTCACCCATCCCACACGCATCCCAGACCCATCCCAGACGATTCATCACCTGGTGTCATCCCTGGCTATCTCCTTGGCACCTGGCCGAGCTTCGTAAGGTGTGTCATCCTGTGGGGTTTTGTCCTGAGGCGCATCTGCCGGCTCCGGCTCTTGCTTCTCATGGTTGCCTTCCTTCGTGCCAAGGTGCATGATGGGGCAGTTGCGTCACACATTTACATTTTTATAGCATGCAGCATGAGTAAGATAAGATAAGATAAGCATATCATTCAACTCATGCTCTAAAATCTGCTCCAGAAATTTTCAGGTACCCCAAAATCATCCAAAATCCAGTGGTTTGAAACCTCCAAAATCCCTTCCCGTTTTTTGATGGGTATTTTTTTGTTTGGTGTGCCCAGCTTCATCCGATCCATGTTCGGGTGTTGCTTCCGGTAGTTCAGCTGCTGGCAACCTCAGTGTTTCACTGTTAATTTTGTTTCGATGGCGGGACCAACATGGCACTAGCATGGCCTGACTCGCCTGACTTTCCCAGCGGCACAAGACAGTTTGATATATACCCTCTGGTGAACTAACATAGCAATGGAAAATGGCTATTTATAGTGGATTTTCCCATTAAGAATGGTGATTTTCCATTGCTATGTTAGTTCACCAGAGGGTAACATTATATAACCATTCAGATTTTCACCCACCTGATACTAAGGGCTGTTGTGCTAGTCAGCTAGTCTGTGTGCCACCACGACCTGACAAATGCATACAGTGATCAGTCATCTCAACTCCCAGGTAGTAGGGATGAAAACCACTAACAAAATACAAAAGGGTATGAGACGCCTGAGTATCCACAGCATTCCATGGCCAACTGCTAACAAGTCTAACAAGGGACCACGTGGTTTCTCCGTTCTTCTCCTTGTTTTCCTCAGGGCCTTTGGTTGGCGCATCTCCATTTAACGGTGTATCTCCATTTGTCGGCGCATCTCCGTTAGTCGGTGGAACTGGTGCAGTGCCATTGCAATCATCTTCGTTGGGCCTAAGTGAAACGTTGCACCTATGGATCAGCAAAAGTTATTTTTTGGGGGGGAAACGAAATGTACATCATGTACGTCCCCAACCCTTAGGTGGGGGACGTCAGTCACATCTTCCGCCGAAACCATGGTTAAGGGGGTGGGGATCTTAATCTAATGATAAGACTTGAGAATTTACGTCAGTCAAAAATTCAAAATACCTTAAGAAATGGTTTGGACTCATGCAACATGTAGGTTATGTAGGTTTGGAGCCAACTCTTGCTTTTTTGAGCCCATACTTCCACAATAACTAATTATATTTCTGCAACATTCTGCAACTGTGGTGTAAGAGAACCGGATCTCGGCAAGTCATAGCAAGTGATGGCAAGTCGCGGGTGGTTCTCTGCCGCACCTTGATCCTTGCCATTCTCTGCCCGCGTTGCGTGCTCTGCTTCCTTCGTTCCGGTGGTTCCGTTGGTCCCATTCAGGGTGGTTTCGGGCGGCGGCATGTCCTTCGCTCCAGCCTGAACAAGGAAAGCTGCTGGCCCTGGAACTTCTGGTAATTCCAAAATATTCCAAACGTCCAAAGTGGTAACCAAAAAAAAAGAGGCGGAATCAAATAAATGAAATGGTCTTGAGATGCCTTTTGACGCAAATTGCCACCAACACAACCATGGCATGTCATTTGTATACTTTGCATATGAGACAACATGAACATACAATAACTGTTTATTTTTTTAATCTTAATTAATTGCAGTAAATCCTTCCCAACTGTGGTTTCCACTCTCGTGCCTCAGTACCATTCAGTACCTTCAACCCAATCTCCCAATGCCTCCATCTCGGTGACTGGCTGTGGTGTCGCCTGATTCTCAAGGGATTGGGAAGGAGGAAAATCATGCAGGAAAGCGAAATAGAAATGTTCCCTTTATCATCCTTTATCATCCTTTATCCAGTTCTGAGGATATCTCCATATGATCTCCACAAATCAATCCATGGAACTATCTCTGGCGTTTTTGGATCTTTTGGGAAATTGATCAGTTTTTTTCACCAACTTGGACTCGATCAGTTTTCAGCCAACATCCCAGAAATTCCATTACCCTCTGGTAATTTAACATAGCTATTGAACATGGCCATAGAAATAGTGGATTTACCCATTGAAAATGGTGATTTTCCATAGTTATGTGGCTGTTTACCAGAGGGTAAATTCCCATAAATTCCATGTTTCCGCTATGAGAATCAACACACAAATCCCATCACACCGCGCCTGCGCCTCCTCGGGGCGAGCCGCCTCTGACACTGCCGCCGCGCCGGGCGCCGCGGGCTCGGAGACCTCGTCGTCGGTTTGAACTTCGGCTTCCTGGCGGAAATTTACCCAATAGATCCCAATAGATCGCAGATGTGTGGAGGAAAATCAATGGATCTTTTAAAGGTAAATATGACATATTAGTTGAAAATAATGTTGAGATATGATTGGGTAAATACGTTTGAGATTTTTTTAGATCAAGTGACAAAATAAAGTGTCAAATCCTCTTAAGATAGTATTATATACAGTATATCATTGTCATATATTGTCAATCATATTGTCATTATACGTTGTGTAGGTCTTACACATGATTTTGGAATATTTAGATGTAGAATGATGTAGATGTGTAGATATCTGAGAAAAAGAGAGAGAGAGAGAGAGTCATGTGCAGTACCACACAGTCATAGTATAGGAGCGATGACTAATCTTAGAAGTGAAATAGGGGTCTTGCGGGTCTTGAAGCAGAGGTACCGCTCGTGCATTTATCTATTGTTGTTAATTGGCTTTTCATGGTCTTTCGAATTATACATATTCAACCACGCATCCTCTCAAATTCAAGTTGCTAAATGGACCTTGTGGGTCTTCACCTGCATGAGCACACAAGCAACAATAGGTTTTCTGGGCGACATGTGAATGTGGGTTGTTACAAAAACAAATGTGTTTGCCCCTGTCCGAGCATATGTCAGCATAGTAGGCACAACAAAGTTGGCTGAATCTATCCATCCACACGTGCCTCTGCCGATATGCTCTCACATGTTGCCAAGTTCACTACAAGTATGACTTCAAATCGCATACATATGTACACACATATAAACGTGCATGTATGATATGTCATCACATATAGTATACATATATAATTATAGTATATACAGTATATATATATAATTATATATATGCACAGTAGACATGAGTACACATATATAAGTCAGTACTCCATATATCAATTATCCGTCAACCCTCCCCTGGTGTTCTTTTTGGACTACCTGCCAAGCTTCGCAGAATTGTCTGACTGCCCCTGAATCCCTCATGGGTTCCGCTACCGGCTCCGGCTCGGGTGACCTGAAAACTCAGCTGTACTCCACCAGTGCGGCTCCAGCAAGCCACATATAGGCACATAGTCACCAGTTTCTGATCGAAATGTGAATATATGTGAATGTACCCAATGATAATTGCTTGAAAAACACATTCTCACATGTTGCTTTCCTAAATTTTCCTAAGCTTCCCTTCTGACCATTTCAATGAATTCATTTCTGACAGAGCTTTCCGTGAGATTTTCCAAGATACTCTTGAGGATCCTCTTGAGGCGTTTGGGTCGTGTGCTCCGGCTGCTCCGGTGCCCAGGGGACCTGTTGCAGTTCCACCTCGGAGCCGTGCCAGATCGTGCCAGGGCTGACACCGGTAGAAAGATGTCATTTGATGATAACATTTGGAGCTTTAATGAACTTTCCCATAGGATCCATGTATGGTATATATGCTAACATGACTGGGGTATATTGATGGTAAATGTTAGCATATATATATAGCATGCATGGATCCTATGGGTTTAATACCATCTTCATGCCATACGATCTGTGATAGATTTACTGATTTACCCACATTTGGGTGGCTTGGGCTTTGAAGGTCATTTTTGGCAAAGGCCATACATCAAGGGGGTGGGAAATGTAAAAATCAGATTAGATTGCTACAGCCGTACTGTCACTTTTCAACTCCAACTGCCAACCCTAAGCCATGCTCTGATTGATTGAAGTTCTACTTGAGGCGTGGCATTCCAACAGGTCCACTTTCCAATTCATTGGATAGCTGGATAGCTGCTTTAGGGAGTCATCACGTTCCTAAAAAAAACATGTTTCAACCATTGGTGGCTGCCTACTTTCAGCAAGCTGCCGGTAGTCCAAGGAGACCACATTCACCTAAGACATGAGTGATCTAAGATGCTGCTGGCCCAAAGAGGTGACAGATTGAAGGTGCATGCTGATCATGAACTGCATGTTGTTCATTTATAAAAAGAATCTCTGCGGCTTCATGAAAATGAAATTTCTGAAATGTGCTGAGCAGGGGTGGAACATGCTGAAACAAAAGGCACCAAAAAAGCCTACAAGCTATAGCAGCAATACAAATGTGATTGCTGCATATTGCTGCTAGCAGCTGTTGAAAAACGCAAATCATCACAAATCATCACATACCATCATAAATCATCACAAATCAAAAGCAACGATGCAAGGCTCTCATGCGTCATGCAGCAGGCGACGGTATTTAAGAGTCGGAACCCCTCACTCACCAAATCATGTCAAGAATGAAAGGGACCAATCCCCTGAACGATGAATGAGTACAAAACGTGAGAATGGAGTAATCAATATCGGTGATTGCACTACCATTCCGCTAATCAGCACGGTCAGGCAAATGGAACGCACGCAAAGGGCCCTGGCCATGACAGGAGCCCACCCATCCATTCAGGCTGAAGCAAATCGGAAGTCACTGTCGCACTCTGGCACTGGAACAGATAGGTGAAAGTATGGGCATACCCTCATGGAGATTCTTTTGCCTTAGCCGCCAAGCTGGTGCTGGGAAAACAAAGCAAGAAAGAAAAACAAACAGGATTCCGCGCGTGCAAAGGCACGTAACTCTGAGATTATTATTGTTCAGAGAAAGTTTTTCGTCCCCAAAGTATTGCTCCTTGGTTGATTGCTGTCGTTGTTCAAACGCTTACCAATGCGCAAATCCAGGCAGCATTTCCAACACAAGAATGTGGAGCAAATCTGCCCTTGAAAATTCTGTGCGGCAGCTTCTCCACTTGGCGTTTGCCCATGTTGCCCCTCCTCTCCACTGTCATCCTTTGCTTCCTTGTTATTGTTGCCATTCTTGGGTTTCTCGTCAGCCACTGCGCCCACCAATGTGCAAAAAAACTCATGGGCATCGTGCTGCCTCGGCCCAGCCCGGTCGAAAGGCACTTGACCCCCCGCAAAAACTGTTGCACATCAGTCTCTGAAAGGCTGTGTAAGCACAACAGGGACCCCAACAATGTAATATCATATGTGATATATCATATATCATGAATTAAAGACATATTAAGATACAGTATGATGGTGTGAAATGTGAAATTATTATTGCATATGATTGCGTGGGTAAACACGATATCAGGCACAGTTCATCATGGCCCATCTACAGAGCCCTGGAAACAAAAATCTATCTATCTATCTATCTATCTATCTGCTTATTTCTATCTCTCCCTCTATCTATCTATCTATCTATCTATCTATCTATCTATCTATCTATCTATCTATCTATCTATCTATCTCCATCTATCTATCTCTATCTGGGGGTTGTCCTAAATTACTGTTCCCACAAAGGCCTCTTGGGCCGAGCTTGCGCCAACCTTGCGCGTTTCTTGCGCGACCACACGCCCGGATCACTTTCATCATTTCAGTTGTTTTTCATCATTATTCTCGTACTTGTTTTCGAATGTTAAATATTTAGTATTCACTTAGTATTTCGTACTGGGAAGTAGTTTGTGCAAGCTTTGTAGTACAAAGTAGTACTGGGAAGTAGTTTGTGCAAGCTTTGTAGTGCAAAGTAGTACTGGGAAGTGCCTTGTGCAAGCTTTGTAGTGCAAAGTAGTACTGGGAAGTGCTTTGTGAAAGCTTTGTAGTACACAGTAGTACTGGGAACTAGTTTGTGCAAGCTTTGTAGTACAAAGTAGTACTGGGAAGTGCTTTGTGCAAGCTTTGTAGTACACAGTAGTACTGGGAAGTGCTTTGTGCAAGCTTTGTAGTACACAGTAGTACTGGGAAGTGCTTTGTGCAAGGTTTGTAGTACACAGTAGTATTGGGAAGTGGTTTGTGCAAGCTTTGTAGTACACAATAGTACTGGGAAGTAGTACTGGGAAGT